GTTAACGATTTTCATCTTGTTAATGTTTAAGACATTTCGACCAAACATGAACAGAGTGTTACGAAACAATGAATCATCTAAGGAGTAGCTAGACAGTCACATCCTGATCTACTTTAAAAGATCAATCAAATATCAATTCAATTCAAGTCGATAGTTCTCTTGTTCATATCAGTAATTTCTCTTCCATTTTTAGTCTCTTCTTTCACGATTTTAAAATTCTTAAACTCAAGTCAAAAGGAATTTGCTAACAAGTCGGACACTCTATCAGCAGTGAAGACATCAAGGTATGTTGACGATGGCTTCGTTTCTTGACCTTTTAATTTGATTTGTTTTTTCTTTTGAACCCACAACACTAACGTTGTGTAACCTGCGTTCGACATGAAATAAAGTGATAACAACATAAAGCAAAACAGACGGATCTACTCTAGATTGGTTATCCTAATAGTCTAGTTCCTAACATCAACACAACGCCCTTCAATAGAGGAATGCGGAATCCATTTTAGTCATAATCAGTTGTTCCTTTTATAGGAAAGAATCGCGTTACCTGACTCTGAGAAAGGACACGCTCTGAGCTTAGGTTTCTCTTACGACATCCTCCAAGAGACTAAAGGTTTGTTTTAGATTTTTGTACTTCCTAGTAATTTTCAGCCATTCAGAGCTATTACTCACAGTCAGCTTTGTTTGGAGTGTCGCAATCGTCTCTTAGCTGTGTATTCATGCTATCTTCACCCAGAGAATTGCAAGAGGATTTTGTCTAAAATAAATATACATGAGGGCAGCAAAGAGCGTATCATAGTTCCACCTAACACTCAGAGAATCAAATCTCCCGGTTTTCAAATTGCAGTCACTTCATATTTTAATTCAATGATGAGCATTTATTCATCTTATCTCGCGTCTTCGCGTTCCTGATGACTTAGGCCACACCCATGTCAGAGACCGCGTACCCAGTACAGACAGTACAACTTTCTGTAAAAGGGCTCCGTATTTTTTAAGCAGCTTAAACGCGTACGTTCCTCTCTTCTTTTGAGGTTCAGATATGCTGTGATCATCTGCACTTGGAGAGAGCCCCGTTTTTAATTTTACATTATACATTCTTATTAGGTTTTTAGTTAGAGACAATAACCAGACTATAAGTACATGAGCTAGTGGCTGTGGTTATCGAAGAATCATCTGCAGAATCAATGACACAATCATGCAGTATGCAACAGTGATCTATAAAATTCTCTAACAGAAATAAATCACTGGAAAGCCGCTCACATGAAATACAATTTTATTCATAACTATGATTTAGTTGACGTATCTCATCATGACAAAATTTGCCCCTTTCAGAAATATTCTTAAGATCTCCTAGATGAAAGTTATGTCAGACTGCGAGATTTCGACACCATATGATCACGTCAGTAGCTTGCTTTCCACTTAGTGTGAAAGATCAAAGAGTGTTTTTTTCGTTACAGGCTAACTTGCAGTGCACTTTCACTAGGATTTCATTGTCTTTCATACAATCAGGCAGCCAGAAGCAAGTACTGATCAAGGTATGATGCCATTCCCTACGTTTATGCCTGGTTTATGGTTAAACTTCTAATGTCTTCTGAAAACTGGGCGGGTCAGTTCAGATCTTTAAGAATATGATTACGTTCAAGATGCAAAATTTTTGTTAAGAGAAGAGTAGTTAACAAACTAACGGTCTAAAAAAACATGATCGGGCCATTATAAAACTCTTTAAAGTGTATTCCCAGGGCTGACGCTTTAGATAACGTCGTTCGAGAGTCATTCCATCTGACATAAGCGCATCGGTTCTTGTCCTCAGGAGTTCAGTGATAGATATAAACCAAGAGAGGATAAAGCTCTTTTGACAAACTGCTTAATTTCTTAAGATGAAACTGATACAGAGAAAGAAGATAATGGAAGCAGTCCAACTATTGCAGCGCTCCTTAAATCGCGTGATTTCTAGGTTCAGCACCAATTATACGACAGATGTATTTAAAAACCGCTTCTCATTTTTCCTGATATAAGAAATATTGTCAACTGTTCGTTTCACAGAAAGTTTGAAGTATCGAGGACGGGAGTTCAAGAACCTCTTGCATAAATTGTCAAGAGAGAGCTTTCTGAACAGCTTTTTTTGCAAAATTAAGTTTTCTCATAGATAGCTCAAAATATGGGATTCCACAAGATTCTGCGCGCGCCGTTCAAATAAAGAATTTTCATACTTTTAGTGTCTTCACTAAAAATTTCACTTAGCTTCAAGTTGGAAAATGTCTACGCGAAAATTGAGCGGTAAAATTACCATGACCTCGGGGTTCATTTTTATCTCCCACTCGTGAAGGCATCTTGGACGCTGTTTGCGGCGTCATGTAAGTCTTGACCTCTTTCTAGACTTCTTTATAATCAAGGTCTCTGTTTTCATCTGAACACACTTTTTTTTATATGAACTGCGTTCGAATGAAGTGCAACAATAACAAAATGGAGCAAAAAAGATTGATTTGTGTTAAATTACTTTGTTGTATTAATAAAAGTCGCGTGATTCTGCGTAAATTCTAATACTTTATTCCCTTGTCATATACATAACAAGTGTCGTAATTATATCCGCAAATCAACACGATTCTATTTGCCCACAACTTTCAATCATGGTCAATAGATGAATTGAAAAACAGGAAGTACGTATCGTATAACGCAAAGCGAGCACTGTAAAAAAGTAGTATTTCGCACTAGTTTTTAGTTCATAGACTTTCTGTAAGGCTCGCGGCCGGTTTTCTCAATAATCGCACTTCATATAAAGGTTTGTTATCGATTTTTTATCTTCTTAGTGTTTAAGGCGTTTCAAACAAACTGAAGATCAACTTTTGTGTGTAGTATGCTGCACTCAACAGTGAATTATCTCAGGAGTAGCTCAGTGACTCTGTAGACAGCCGCACCCAACTACTTATAAATCTCAGTCAATTTCGATTTCATCCAAAGCGATCGTTCACATCAGTATTTTCTCTTCGATTTTTAGTTTCCTCTTCACAATTTTGAAATTTACTTCAAGTGAAACTGAGGAATTTGCTAACAAGTCGGTCTCCCCATCAATGAAGTCGTAAAGGTATGTTGACGATGGCGCCGTGTCTTGTTTCTTCTTCTGAACACACAGCACCAACATTGTGTGTTTAAACAGATGTATATTCATTAAGTAATAACATGTACTCTAAATGGATGTACTCTAAATTGGTTATTGCTCATAAATTAAATCGTGTGACTCTGAGATCCGAATGGATCCTTAACATCAACATAATACCCTTCTACCGACGAATGCGGAATCCTTTTCAATCATAATCAATTGTTTCTTTCAGTAGGAAAGAATCGCGATGCTTGACTCCGAACAAGGACCCGCTCTGAACTTCGTTTTCTCTTACGACTTCCTCCATAGAGTTTAAAGGTTTGTTTTAGATTTTTAAACTTTATTTTTAGCCATTTAGAGCTCTTTTATTTGGAGTGCCACAGTCGTTTCTCAGCTGTGTATTCCTGCGATCTCTAACAAGAGATCTGCAAGAGGGCAACGCGCCTATTTTTGATACACTAAGAGAATCAAACCTCCCGATTTTCAATTTGCGGTCACTTCACATTTTAATTCAAAGATAAAAAGTTATTCATCTTACGTTAAGTCCGCGTTCCACGCTTTAGCGACATGCGTACCTAGTACAGACAGTACAACTTCCTGTAAACAGGCCTCGTAAATTTAAACAGCTTAACCCGTGGCTTTCTTCTCTCTTTCTTTTTAGCTTTATGCTGTAATCATCTGCAATTGGAAAGAGGTTTGTAATTTTGCATTCACACATTCTTACTAGTTTTTAATCACAGAGGATAATTTGACCAATTCGGGAGGGCTCCTCTTGAAGTCATGTCAGACTGCCAGATTTCGACATCATATGATCTCGTTATAAGCTTGCTTTCCACTTAGTGTAAAAGACCAAAGAGTGTTTTTTTGTTATACAGGCTAGCTTACAGTACCCTTTCAATCGGATTTCATAGTCTTTCATGTAATCAGGCAGCCAGTATCCAGTATCCAGTATAAAATAAGGCATGATTTTCCATTCCTCAGTCGTGTCTTCTGAAAACTGGGCGGATTGAGATCTTTAAAAATTGGCTCTTACGGTGAGATAGTTTTACAAAGATTAGAGTAATTAACAAACTGACGGACTGTTTAACTCGATCGGGTGACAAACTGTAACGGTGGTGACGCTTTATGTAAATAGAATCATTTGTTTGTAACGTCGCTCGGGAGTCATTCCATTTGACATAAGTGCATCAGTTCTTGTCGTCATTTGTTTAGCAATAGATACACAAAACTGCTAAATTTTTAAAAATGAAATACAGAGAAAGAAGATAATGGAAGTAGTTTAACTATTGCAGCGCTTCTTAAATCGTGTGATTTTCCAGCTGATTTCCAGGTTCAACCACCAATATCTGCAGGATTCTGCTTCGCTCAAATTAAAATACCGTAAAATACCGAAAACAAGCCCCGGGGCTTATATTTCTCAAAAGCCCTTTTTGAGAGGCTTATTTTTGGAGGGGCTTATATTCGGAGGGGCTTATCTATGCATGGAGGGAAATTTGCGTTTCAAAATCGATTGGGCTAGCCTTATAGTTGGAAGTAAATTTACCGTTTATGCTTCGTTTTACTTTGTATTTGAGCGCAATTTTTTAAGTACAAGCCCCCGGGGGGCTTATATTTGAAGGGGCGATTTAACGGAGGGTTTTTTGCGTTACCGGTTTGGGGGGCTTATTTTCGGAAATTTTTGCAGGTTAACCGAGCGGGCCCTGGAACTATTCAAAGTGAAGATTTTCGAAGATATCCAGCCTTCAGAAGTGTTCTGTTTCAGTCTGTTCGTAAGGTAAGTTTTCCTCCCTGATTTACATGTAAGTTGTGAAGAAAAGTAAAATAAAAGATGTTTAGGTCTTTCTCCCTTTGGTTAACATTTACACTTTGTCTAGCTAACAATCTAATGAACTAAATTCTTTCTTCCAGATCGTGTGCACTGAGGTGATCGTGAACACTCAGTGAAATCAACATCGCGGTCATCTGGGAAAGGTAAGCTTAAGCTTGTTATAATTACTTTTATTAATAGGCATTTTCTTGTAAAAAAAAAAAAAAGGTTGTTGCTAGTGGAAAAATTGTTATTTTTGTTTGATGCTCGCAAGACAAGTTTTATCACTACATTATTTTATGCACTGCTGTAGTGTGCCGCCAAATTATGGTCGCAAAGACCATTTGATATCTCTTTTAGTCAAATCGTGGAATCGTAGTGAAATGTAAGGCAAAAAAAAAAACAAGAGGAGATGAACTAACTGCAGGGATCACTTGTGTTATTTGAGGTTGAATCAGAAATATTAAAATCACCCGTTACGTAAAAAGGTGTTAAGTGCATGATATTGTTTTCAGTTTTGTAGACCAGTTACTAAGATTCTGAAGATGTCACCACCAGTGATAATGCAAGATTAAAGTTATCCTCCTGAAAGTAAGTTTACATTCTCTGTGATCTCTGCTGTAAGTGTGTTTTGATGTAGATATGATATATCTCTGAACCAGATAATTATTTTGGGCAGTTTCCCCTTGGGGCAGGGGGGGGGGTACTCCCTATAATGGCCTATAGGAGGAGGTTGTGCTCAATACCCTATAGGCGTGCGAGCTACCCCGTAGCTTGCTGCAGTTGTCAAAATGTGATTGGCGGCCGTAATAGACAGCATGCAAGGCAGCAGGGGTAAACAATGATTGATGGGTAACCAGACGCAATTTTCTTTAATGTAGAGTATTATAGTGTCAACATGGTTTTCGCATGTTAGATTTTCATCAATAAGCATGCTAAGAGGCTTAGAGGAATGAGCAGGCGGTGTGCGTCATGAGATTCGACCAATCAGAATGCGTCATTTGTAGAGTGATTTTCGCGCTCGGAAAGAGCTGTTTGCAGAGGTATACGTGGTGAAATTTTCGCTTTATTCCAAGCTTGTGTTGGTAATTTCGACACTATACCGCCGTGGAAAGTTGTTGGAACACTTTATCTTGATAGCAGTTGCGTTACTTTTAAATATTTTGCTTTCTTGAGCGTTTGTGACGAGTTTGAATTGCTCGGTCATGTGCGGGCCGCCATGAGGATTTGAATGTTGTTTTTGCCGTTCTTCTTGGATTTATTACTGGTTACTGTTAGCGGTTTTATCGAATTATTTTGGCCATCTTGTTACTTCAACCCTTCTTCTTTGCAATTTTGGGGTCTACCGGGTCTACCCCTGTTAGTTTTCCAGTTATGAGCCGTTGAAAGTGTCTTGGAATTAAGACATCGTCTCAGCCAAGTGGCACAACTCCCGGGAAACGGGCTGAGAAAACATGCCGAAGCGGAAGCCGACGTGAAGCGGTAACACCAAATCCAGGAAGACTTTGTTCTATTTTAAACCACAAAAGGTAAATAAGTTTGAATATTGTAATAACCTTTGGAAACAAGACATTTTTCATAACCCAGTCACGGAAACTGAAAGCGTGACTTTAAAATAATTTGCATGCGGTGTGTGCTATCTTTGTGTAAACTTTAATACGTGAGGGAATGAATTGTTATAAATCGCTACCAAAACACAACACCATTATCGAAGATCCAGACAACATACAGGATTTTAAAACTGTGAGGATAGGTTTTACTTTATAACAAAATCAATATACTGCGCTCACTTCAATGACCGCTGAACAAGATCGTGGTTTATTTCACTGTTTATTTCTGCGGCTGTAGCTTCGGTGAAATTCGATTGTGCTGCAGCTGTTCGGCTCTTTTCGGTCCGTTTTCCCCTTGCCTGATTGAAGATTTATTTGCTCATAAGGATTTCAAGCGGGCACTGTTTTCAAAATAATATAAACTTGTCGATGAAAATAAAATTGTTATGAGAGACAATTTCTCACCTTGCTGTTTGCACGCTCCCCCTGCTTTATGGGGTAAGAAAGTCCATCAAATATATAAACACTTCTAATGAATGAATTTTTTTTTTAGTTAAGCAAATCCAGGTATGAACTACATATCTCTTTAACTGTGAGATAAAAACATACATATAAACCAAACAGTACATAAAATCTTATGAGAAGCAGGAAATTAGTAGTCATTAAAGTCAGCTAGATCGCACGATCGTCTCCGAATCGCGATAAACTTCTTGAAATTGTCTTGTGAAGCCAATAGCAAGCATCTAAGGCCACTATGAGATCTTGAAATTTCTCGAAATCGCTCTCTTGCGTAATGTTTTTCGGAAAAGGCAGCAGTGTTTTGATCCCTGGGTTTGATTCATTTCTCTTACGAGATGCGAACTCGTCCGTGTCACGATTGAAATGAGGCACAGTAACAGTTTTACCCATGAACCTTTGTGGGTCGTGACGCACACCGCCTGAGGAATGAGAATGTTTGATCAGAACATTATTTATATTTAAGGAAGGCAGAGAAGTTAGATTATTAAGCTTTTGCCTTGAGCTTTTTAATTTGAATTCAGTTTTAGTCATATGTAACATTAATTTATTTGCCATAAGCCAGCGATTATAGACTGTTCACAGTCCTCTATTTTTCTGTAAGATCGTCGCGAGCGCTTTGCGTTACGGGATGCCATCTTAGATGAGTGTCAAAACTACTTAGGGGGCGGGGGCGGTTTGGGAGGAAGCGAGAACAATAGAGGGAATGTAATAACATCACTGCAGCTCGCGTTCAGGAGGCGTGACAGGAATTTCACGCCTTTTACCATTCATTAATTAAGAAACTCCGCCAGTGATGAAAAACATGCCAGACACATTTAGCATCGATTACGCGTGATTACAAATATCTCCTTGGGAAACAGTGATTTTATAATGTTTCTAGGCCCATTCCTCGAAATAAAATCGGCAAACACATACAAGAAAACCTTTTTCTAATCAAAATACCAAAACTCCTTCGTGCTTTTGCGCAAGATGTGCCTTGTGGTATGAAAGCGTACGTTTTATGGAAATATCGACTTGTCAATGACTTTTCAGTGTTGGCGACTTAAACTAAACCCGCTGTCAACGCAAATAAACATCTGTTGTCTAATGACCAATCAAAGGCCTGCGTTGCTGGTACAACGCGCTCCGTGAACGCGAGCTGCAGTGTTGTTATTACAGTCCCTCTATTTTTCTCGTCCCCCCACCAGAGCTATAATCCCCGACACCCCCCTCGGTACATTTGAAAATCAAGATGTAGCCGTGACAGTCTACAGCGATTAATGTTGAGCAAGTCTTCATTCAAGAAAGACTGAATGGAGTGGATATTGCCTTTCAAATAAGTCAGATGGGTCATCAACATACTAGTCATTCTTTGTTCAAAATGAAACAGACAATTGGGCAAATCATTTATATACAGCAAAAATAGTCGAGGCCCTAAAATATTGTTCCTTGGGGGAATGCCACACTTGAGGGTGCAACATTCTGAAACATAAACCATAGACAAGACATTTCTGAGTATGATTATCCAAATAGGAGGAAAAACATTACCCGGTATGGGTAACACCTGATATACTATAAAGGTGTAATTTAGACAATAGCTAGGATATCATGATCGACTGTGTCAAATGTTTTCTTTGGTCAAGAAAAGCAACAGCGTTAACGTTACCTATATCAATATTACAGGCCTCTAATAAGGCTGTAACTGTTGAATGGAGCAAATGGAATCCGGATTGGTGCTTAGACAAAATATTATGATGCGATAAACTGGCATAGAGTTGGTATTAGATAATTCTTTCAAATACTTTGGCAATTGTAGAGATAACAGATGTTGCACGATAATTGTCTATGTCACTTCTTTTGCCACTTACTTGAATAGAGGGGTAAACCTTGCGGACTTCCAATCCTCAGGAAATATACCATTAGCTAAAGAACTATTAAATGAAGTTGAAATAATATGAGGTGCAATTAAATCAGCACAATCTATAATAAGCTGACTCAGGGTTTGAGCTAGGATTTGATCACTAGGGGACAATTTGTCCCCTTGGCTAAAATTTTGGGGGACATTTTCATTTTTAGGGGGACAGAAATTTGTACACCCTTCCTTCTTAGCAGGGCTTCTGATAGGTCTCGGACGAAAAAGTCAAATTTCGCAGGAATTTTTAGGGACAAATTCGCAGAAAAATCGGCCGATTTCGCGGGACTTTTCGGGGCAAACTTAACCGAAAAGCAATCGGTAAAAAACGGCCGATTTTGTGGTTATTTTCAAGGCAAATTTCGCTAGAAATCGATCGGTTTTGCGCTGATCAGACCAGCCTTTTTAACGTTTTTCTAACAGAGGTCATCATTTGCTCTTTCAACAACAATACGCTTCAGAAATGAACCAATGGCAAAGCCATGATGGCTAGTGCCCAGTTTTTCGCAACCTAATCTGTTTGCACGTTTCAGTGACAAAGTTCCAAGATAAATTTGCAAGTTTACGGCAAGTAAATAGCCCCTATAGCTGAAATAAGTTTCAAATATGTTGTACAGACATGTATTTGAGAAGTTTTCTACCAAATTTCGCGGTATTTTTCATGTTTTTGTGAATTTCGCGGCTCCGTGACCGTGCGAAAAATCAGAAGCTCTGTCTTAGATTTCCAACAAAAATAGCAGTAGAGCGTGACTGAAACGTAACTTTGGAATGAACTTTAAAGGTGCGATAAAATATACTCGCTTTCCACGTTCTGTTTCAGCTTGCAACTTCTGTACCGAAATAAATCTCTTTGTGTGCTTCCTGTCGAGTTTTTTCCCTAAATTTTGAAGGGGACAAATTGTCCCCTTGGCCGTTTTTTAAAGGGACAATTCCAATTGCAGTGCGGGATTGGCGCAATGGCGCGGCCTGGCTCAAACCCTGCTGACTATATATTCCATCTGGACCAGCACCTTCAGATTTATTAAGGTTTTTAAAAGAGACAACACCTGATTACTATCAGTGGGGATGAATTTGGAATCTTTCTTTTTAAAGGCCGGAGATATTTAAATTCCTGAAAATTGTTTAAAGGTATTTCGCAAGCCAGTTTCGTGCCAATTGTGGAGAAGTGATCATCGAAAGTGTATAGAAACTCCATTCAGACTTAATTCCTTACCAGACTGACCTGCCGGATTTATGAGAAGTAAGCTCATTTATGAGCTGCCACGTGTTATGCAGGTTGCCATCAGTTTCGCTAAATTTGTTTTTATAAAATAATTTAAAAGCCTGTTTGATTTCAGCTTTGACTTTGTTATGCATTCTTTTAAAGCAGACCCAATTGTGCGGATCATTGGACCTAATTGCTTAAAGTGCCTTATCAGCAGTTAAAAAGGGATACAAAGTTCTCAAAAAGGTATGTGAAAGGGGTCGTACCATATTTTGTCAAAAGAAGGTGTACGAAAGGGGTACCTTTTCTGTCAGAATGGTATTTCAAAGGGTTTATAGGGGTTGGACATCAAGGTGAAGCCTCCCATAGAACTTTGTTGAGTACTCCCTCCCCTGGGGGCAATCCATGGTGTTGTTGTAGTAATTTGCATGGCTTCAAAATAGGTTTATTATCTCATATTTTGATGTCATCTTTACCATCTTTTTATTATTTTCAGGATTTATGCCAGTTGAATATTAAACACATACAATAAGTTAGATGATGTGAAGCTATTTCAAAGGAGAAGGTAATTTAGCTGAGTTTATTAAATTGATAATGATTGCAGTAAAATGGCAAAGGGAGTTAACATTGTAAGCTTTAAAGCTATCTTGCATCACTAGAGTATTACCATACCTCACATTTGATTTAGATGCACTCATTGATATACTATTGATTACAGTACACAGTCAGTAGAATGGTACAGGCCAGAAACTGTTAACTTTCCAAACATTTCTATTGCCTTAATCACTATTTGTTTGAACCTCATGGTACAGTCAAACCTTTGCTAGTAATAATTATTGGCCTCTCCTCTAAACATAGAGACTTAATCATGGCCCCAGTCATTAATATTAAAGAGTGGAATTATGGTCGGGAATCTCTCATAAATTGCTTGGTCACTGCAGACACTTACAAACACTGCATATTGACCTTTGTGAAATGGACCCCTTTCCATAGCAAGGACTTAATGTGGACCCAGGAATTTACAAACACTGTTTGCATATTTTGACCTTTGTGAAGTGGATGGACACCTCTTCTAAAAGTGGACACTAACTGGTCATGGACTACAAACTCTGCATTTGACCTTTGTCACTGAAAGAGGCAAACATCTCAATCTTTAATTACCTGTAGGTGGACACATCTCCTGCATGGTCACTGTACAGTGGTGTCCACTAATATAATAAGAGGTTTGACCCTTAAAATAAAGCTGTAGTGACATAAAGGTAATTTATTAATTAAAAAAAGTTGTTGGAGTCATTTACGGTAATGTGGTGATCTTATTAAATTAAATTTACACTCTTTAGGGAAATCTTTAACTGAGACTCAATGGCACAGCATCAAGACCTTAAAAGAAAAGGAGGTGCTGATCCTGATCATCAGATGTCAAGAAATCATGCCCCTCCTCCCCCTCTAAGTATTGAAGTGCCTAAAATGAGTGATCTTCCAGACAAGTCAAACCCTTGGAGTGATGTCCAGCTTCCTGTTGACATTCTTTTGTTGACAGTAGAAGACTGCGAGTTTTTAGCCTGTTATGCTTTCTTGAAAAATTCTTTTAAAAGTTATGACCAGAATCTGGGATTCGTGTACTTTGGGACCATGGGTGAAACTGGAGAAGAGGCACTGAAAGTTGCTTTAATGAAATGTCACAAAGGTTCTTCTGGTCCAGGTGGCTCTCAAAATGTTATTAAAAATGCCGTGATGCAACTGAGACCCAAGGCTGCTTTTTTGGTTGGCAGCTGCCAGGGTATAAACCCAGAACGCACCAAACGAGGAGATGTAGTGGTATCCTCTAAACTTTCAACTGAACAATTCACAACTCCAGTAAGAAGAAATATTGGCAACCTTATCTTGTTTTCAGCTGGTGGCTGGAATCCACCATTAAAAGATCCAGTAGGTGAAAAAACAGTACAGGTACACCGTGACAGTGACATATTCAGTGGTAGTCAATTTATCACCAAACAACGCCGTATGTCTCAATCTCGCGTGATTGCAGTTGAAACAGAAGGGGAAGGTAAGATTATATACATATTTAACTATTACAACAATTTGATGTAGCATTTAATTTGAGGTCTAGAGCAGAACTCTAAATAAATTGTCCTTTTCAACAACTGAGCTTATATGACCATGGAAAATCACAGTACTTTATTGGTTTGTTGACCACGGTTGGCAATTTTGTCAGATCAATTATAGGGTGCAAACAAGTCTCTTATGATATTAATAATTCATACGTCAACCAATATGTGTTTACATTAAAATATTTTGGAGAAGTACTAGTTCACAAGTTAAATATTTTGCAGGGGAACATAAATTAAGCTTATTAAAACACAATAAAATTTAGTCATTACACTGTAGAGAAAAATTTACAGTTTTGCTAGATCCTTTCATGTTGACAAAAAGGATTGGACAAAGCTTTTAATTAAGAGCCAATTAGGCTGCAAAGAATCATCTTTTATTGGTCTCTTTTTCTACTACTTACAGGACTGTTTGCTGCAGCTCATGATATGAACATTGAATGGGTGATTGTTAAAGGGATATCACATTTTTCTGATGATAGCAACACTTCTGATGACTCCTGGAAGTCATTTGCTTCCATCATGGCAGCTTCTGTTGTGTCCAACATGTTAAATAATCCAGTTGTTTTTAAAGAATGGCCTCACTATAAAGGTAAATTGTGACATCCCTGTTCTAATTAGTGATAATGAATAAATTATTAATAGTGATGAATTTTCTGTTCAGATAATTATTTTTATGTCGGCTGGTTCAATATTATCCTTGAAAACGCGATTGTCAAACCACGGCCTGCAAATATCAGTAGATGGAGTGACTTTCCACCAAAAGCATACTGCATAAGTTTTGTTGAGTTCATTAAATAACGAGAATAAACACCTCCTATCTATTAAATGCCCCTAATGGTTCAAGTTTTTCTCTGTTTGAAACTCAAATACATACATTAATATTAAAATACCAAATAACAAAGGCCAAAAGTAAAATTTGTTTTGAGGTGTTTTCAAATTTATAACACTTTTTTTCTTCACAGACTTGACAGCAAAGAATCAGCCAGGCAAACAGATGCCAGGTACTATTCCATCAATGTAATAACACTATAAATCCAGGAGTTTTTCCAGATTAAATGATTGAACACTGGTTTCACTAATATAAACATTAATATCTTTTAATGTTGTTTGTCACATCTGAGCCCTCTTGCACTTTTTTTATTTACAAATAATATGGCAATAAGACAGGTCTTTGCAAAGAGAGCAGTCTCTTTTTGTCTGATATTTAATCCCTTCCCCCCCTCCCCCCCCCCCCCCAAAAAAAACATTTGCTGACAAATGCCGTTTGAAAAAGGCCGCTTTAGGGTCAGTATCTGGCCAAAAAGAACCAAAACTGCCCAAAAATACTGTATTTCCTCGAATAACAACCAGGGCAATTATTTCTTTTTTTGCCTCAAAAGGGGGTAATTATTCGAGGGAGGCGATTATTTCAAATATTCCTCACTGGAAGTCGTACCCTAAATATTTTGTTTTATTATCCCATTAAATAAAAAAATTATCACGTCCGAATAAACTGAATATAAATGACCGGCTTTTAAAGTGTTTCAAATTTGGTTCATTGATTGTAATTTTGAGAGCTTGAATTGTCACTGATCAGTTTTGCTGGATCAGATTCCACTTCAACTTGACAGGAAGAGGATAAAAGAAAGTGAAGATGGGAAGAGGGGTGGGGAGGGGGGTGATTATTCGAGGGAGGTGATTATTTTAAATATTTCCATCAAACGGGGGCGATTATTCGAGGGAACACTATTATTCAAGGAAATACGGTACTTTAAATTGAACACCATGCTGCCTTTGGTTCCTTATGCTAATTAATGTCAGTTTTGTTTTGAAGAGTGACACAAACCACTCAATTTTTCCCTTTTAGCTTCCTTGCATCATGTTTTCCCTTTAATGTTGGACATAAACTAAGGCTTCATTTTGGTGAGACAGACATTGTTTTAAGTGAAACAAGATTCCCTTATCTTCTTGAAAACCTACTCGTCTTTGTTTCAGTTGTCTTTGAGTTATGTGTAAAGGTCTCTATTAATTTATGAATTGCCCAATTTAATTGAAATTAAAGTGATGTGGCGGAAGGGGTCCACTCCCAAACTTTCCGCTGGTATAGTATATTCTATTGTCATCCACCAAACCCCACTAAAAAGATTATAAAAGGAACGATCACTAAGACTTGCTTGCTGATTTAAATCCACTGGACAATATCAAATTAATGATCACTGGGTCATTCCTGGTGCTGTTTCCTTTCATTAATTTGTATTATTTTATTCATGATATTTCTGCAAATTGACTGTCCACCCCTCTTGTAAAAAAATAGACAGTTATTAAAAAATTCTTCTTGGAAATGATAAAAAATTCTTGATAATAGATTCTGTATGCCTTGAGGAGTGCCAGAAACAGCTGCGATCACTTTATGAAACCAGTAGTAAAGTCAGAATCATTCCATGGGACCAGAACTCTGCTGTTGATATTGACAAGATCTACACAGACTTGTCTTGGGTCATGGATGACAGGACACCCAGGGGAGTGATACAAGAAGAGCTTGACCACTACACTGAGATTTTTGCTCACAGAGAACCTCGTCGTGCACCCAAGCGAATTTTGGTTTATGGACAACCAGGTAAGTGAGCGAATGAGGTAAAAAATTTAATTGTCTTAATTTAACTGACAGAGGATAAAATATAAGTACATGCAAAAGTCACATACAATAACAGTAACACAGAAACCATTGGTCCACTCGCATTAAATTAATCGACACAAGGTGTTAGCAAATGCATTGTATCAGCTAGTGATGTGCAGGTTTCTTGAGTGGTTTGCTGACATATTGTACATTCCAAGTGGGTATAGATTGTTACCAGTGCATGCATGCTGTCAAACCAAATGAAACGTTTGGTCTGTTGCTGTTATAAATGAAATAAAAGGTAAAAAACAAAGTTTTTCTGTTAATCAGTCTGATAATAAACAATATATTTATTGGCTTTACAGCAATCATGACATACCCTCTAGGCTCCAATAGTGTTGTAATAATAGTTAAAATATTGTGACTCAATTTTATCTAAAAATTCAAGTTTATTTAATGCCGAGAGGGAAAAGAATAAAACCAAAAAAAAATCTTCCAAGGATAAAATCACACCAAAAGCTTCACAATCGACTGATGACTGGCAGTTTGGCCCAGTTGGTTGAAGGCTGATCAGCGCTTGCAACCTCAGGGGTTAAATTTTTTCTGGATCCGCCACTGTTAACCTGGGTTTCTTTTTGTTTTTAATTATCAAAAGCATTTTCTTGGATTTTTCTCTACTCTTTTTAGATGATCTAATCATCACATTTTAGATAAAAAGATTTAAACTGAAATTTGGTGTTTGAGCTTTCATATCCGAATTCAAATTTTGCACTAACCCTGGGTTATCTTAACCCAGCCTTGAACAACTGGGCCCTAAATAGCTAGTCTGGGTATTTCACAGTTTTATGAAGGATTTATTTCCATTGTCTTCATCATGAATAATTTTGAATATTAAATTAATGAGATACCATTTTTGATGAATATAACTCGCGTCTCTAATCAAAGCTAAAAAATTCCAAAATGCCCCCTTAGAGGAAGGGAAACATCTTTAAAGGCCACCGATATCTTGCTCACTCTGCATATGATATGAAAAGTTTAAACATAATTCCGTTAAAAAAATAATAGAATAAATAATTTCTCTTCAAGTTTTATGAAAATTATCAATTGAAATTTCAATATTATAGATTCCACTTCACGTGACTTCACATAATAAAAGTAAAACAAATCTTTTGACAGTTTGTTGTTATTGTCACCTAGGTATCGGCAAGACTGTTTTCACGAAGAAAGCAACTTTTGACTGGTCCCAGCAGAGATATTCAGAAACATTAGGAGCATTTGATCTTGTCCTTCTGCTGAGATTACGTGATGTTAGTAATCTCCAAGATGTTCCGTCCATTCTGGGGGCTTGTGAAGTGCTGGATAGTAATGGTACAGTTTCTGTACACAACCTGTTTGATTACGTTTGTCGCCATCAAGAAAAAGTCTTGCTTATCTTGGACGGCTACGACGAATATGTTTACAGTTCAAAAAACGAGTCGCCTGTTTTCAAAATCTGGAAAAAAAGCCAATTAAGAGATTGTTGTGTTGTAATTACTTCAAGAGAAATGAAAGCTGAGACGTTAAGAAATTTTAGTGATGCTCAATTCAAAATTGACGGCTTTAATTATCAGCGCCAAGTAGAGTTCGCCCGTAGATTTTTGACAGATAATAAAGATATTCAAGAGTTTTTTATGTACTTACGGCAGCACAACCTAAGTGGACTAGCACAAATTCCCCTACTGCTCTTAATGTTGTGCTTGCTCTGGACGAAAACAACACGCGAAGAACTACCAAAGGAACGCGCAGACATCTTCGCCCAGTTCATGACGACCATGTTTGATCACATGTGTGAAAAAAAGTCTGCTGAAGAATCGGTTTCTGCCAAAGATTACTCCGATGAATTACACGCATTAGGACGCTTGGCCTTTGAAGCCCTTTTGCAAGGCCAGCTTTATTTCCCTGTTAGTCAGTTACCTGCTGGCTACAGTTTGATCGAGAGGCTGATTGAAGTCGGCCTTTTTCAGGTTTTAAATATGGCGAGTTTGAATCGTGAAAAAGGCGTGTACTTTATTCACAAATCCGTACAAGAATACCTGGCTGGGAATTTCCTGAAAGAAGAGCTGACATCTAAAAAGGCTGAAAGTACAAACTCCCTCTTAAAGTTGGACTCAGTTGAAAAGATCCGAGAGATGATGGAGGTTTTAAAATTTGCTGTTCAGTTGTCAGAAGAAGCCGGGCGCGAGATTGTGATTCACCTTGGAATGAAGAGCGGACTAAAAGAGTTCAAATTCGACAACGAAACACCGTCACAGTGGGACTTGTCAGACGAACAAACAGATTTTATTAATCTTTGTAATCAGTTATTTTTCTACTGCTCAGCTGAGACAAGAAAAAACCTCTTTCCTACATTTCTTTCCTCTTTAGGAGGAGTTCTTGTAATTAATGTAGAGCAGCTAAATGTTATCGTACAGGAAAAATTAGTTCAAACTACCGAAAAAACACCCAACTACGTTTTTTTTAATATCTACAAATATACAGAGCAGGACTATAGTAATTTAATCATTTTATTACAACAATTAAACGCAGTTTTTGTTAGCTCTGTAGGAGAAAAGAAAGCATCAGAATTTTTAAGCAACTTAACATGGCGTTGGATTGATGATTTTTTTTTAAAGAAAGAAGAAAACAACACTCACCTTTATTTAGCTAAAATTGTTAAATATGAAGATATAATTAAGGCGCTTATTAGTAAACAAGAGACAACAAAGAAGACAAACATGAATGGTGATGAGTCAAGTGAAGAGAGCAGCAGCAGCTGTTGTTCAAAGCGTCATGGTCTCTCCAGGGTTCGAAGGATTCAAGCTGAGTATGTGAACAGGTCAGAAGTGGAACTTATGATTGAGATGATGCCGTTTATCACCGCTCCACACGAGATAGTGGTTGAGGGTAAATCCTGGGAAGTGTTTGATGCTGAGGTAACAGAGTCTCTGCTGAGAAGCATCCAAGTAACACACAAACTGAAGAGATTAACACTCTGTCGTATCAATGTAACATCATCACCTGCTGTGGAGTTGTTCATTAGCAATGTATTTAAAAAAGCACCAAACTTGGAGGAGCTCGACATGTCATTCAATCCTCTTCTGGGTGCAGGAGTCGACAGCTTGATTAAACATCTCAGCTGCGCTCCTCACCTGTGGTCACTGGAGCTTGTAAGAGTGAAGATGACTCCACAGCAGGTGATGGATCTGTCATCAGCCATCAAGCAGCACCGCAACATCACTGAACTGTTGTCATCGTACCACGTAAGTTTTCCAATTTTATCGCAATTTGTTTCTTTGTTCTTTGTTTACAGTTTATTTCTACTCAGCCCTTGCCTTTCGCCATTTTCCTTTCTTTGTCATTTTTATACTCGACAAAGAGGCCCTGCCAAGGGGGGCTCCCATGTCGCTCGTCTGAATTTTAAAACGTCTCGTGTCGGTGTTTATTAATGCTTCACGTCGCTGTCGGAAATTGAACGAAAATAAATTGTCTTTGTCGGAATTTTAGAAAAGGGGGATAGCGATGGGTTTTAAAGAAACCATTACAGTTGTGCAATTTCCCAGTTAACCTTTCGCGTATAGAACACCTATACATCGCCATTCACAATTAAGGGTGTGTTCCTTTCTTTGAATCCAGAAACGGATTTTGGATCTTAAAACGGATTTCGCGTTCCTTTCGGCAAATCCAAATTTGGATTTTTGATCTGGTGAATCCTTTTTGAAAAAGGATTCACATTGGATTTGAAATCCGAAGAATTCGAATCCAGATTAACGGATTAGTGATCTACGCTGTTCCATTCACAGTGGATTCGAAATTAGTCAGATGATCCAGCTGTACTTCCAGTTGAAGTATTCCCGTAGAGTTTCCTAATTGCTGCCATTTGCCGTAAAACATCTGAAAACACTGGAAGATTGTTCATAGTGGTACAGTAAAATATCCATGTGCTGACCATTTGTCGCTAAAGATTGCTTAAAAACACAAATAAGTAAAAGGGACAAGTAACTGCTATCTTTCTAGAAACTCGCTTGTGGACGCTATAGGCACTCGATCGTGTTACATAGAAAACCGAGCTACGAAACTGGATCAAACTGAGCCGACAACCTTTAGATAATTTTCAACTTTAACACGCTCCTTTTTTGAGCTGTTTATGTTCCATCGTCGTTATTCGAACTGCCGATCACAAAATTCTGCACGGTATAATCGCATAATTTGTCAAACAGTAGAAAACATGTCATTTCTAAAGAGGCTCAGGCTGTCATGCATGTTGCACGCGTTTGCGAAAGGTTACCAAGATCACAAATCCAATTTCGGATTTCACGTTCCTTTCGACCGCGAAATCCGGCAAATCTCGGATCAGAAATCCGTTTTTGGAGTCGCTTAAAGGAACTCTGTCAGCACATCCTAGGTGATCCGCGTTCAAAATTTTAAGACTAACTGACCTGATAAATCGTATGTGAAGGCCGGTTAACGGTGGTCTACGCTGTGCGGTGGTAAAGTTACCTGGTCCCTGGTCTCTCCACCGTCGTCACCGTCCGACAGAGGTCGACAAGGATATGAGAAGTTCAGAAACAAGCAAAGTATTCACCATTTTCACATAGACCATAATGCACCTTGTTTACCCCCCAAAACTTTTCATAACCATTGTTTTCGATTTCTCTTGGGACGACTGTAATACACTGGAGAATTTGGAAACATTGGTTATGCAAAATTCTGAGGGGGAAAGCAAGGTGCATTATGGTCTATATGAAAGTAGTGATTACAAGCAATGTAAAGCGTGCGTAAAGTTAAGCTATTTGACGGACAACCTAGTTCCAAGGTCTCCCAGGAGTTGTGCGGGGTTGCGTAAATGAAGACTACGCGACTGGCCAACGCGACGCGCTCAGGAGGGTCCACTGAAACTCCCTGACGAGAGACAATCTCTGAAGCGCAAGGAAAATTGACGAAAATTACTTCTTCTTGGCATTCAGACTGGTGATAAATTAGCCAAACCACCGTTCTTTGTCGTATATTCTCGGCTTTGCCGTCACTGTCGCAATTTGGTCGAGGGAGGTTGTCGCTTGTCGCCATTTCATTTTAGGCTCTGTCGCTACTTTTTGGGTCATGTCGCTTGTCGGAATTTACCCTGGCAGGGCCTCGACAAAACACGAAATTTACTTTTGAAAACAAATCACAAATTTTAGCAGATTCAAAGTATCATTTCAAATTCATTCCTTTCAATTGATTAAACTAAATCGAAAAAAAATGTTTTAACCGAGAACAAGTAAATTAATCTGAAGGTGTTTTCACTGTGCAAAATAATGGATCAGCGAGCAGATATGAAATTTCTCTTTGAGTCTGGTTCAACTCGATATAAGCTCACTTAACAAACTTGTGATATATGTATTAACACAAAAATTCCATAGTATTAATTTCTCAATCAATTTTAATTCATTGCTTTTTATAAAATGATGAATAACAAGCATAAAGTGAAAATATGTTCTGTTCATGTTCAATTCAAACAAACAAAATTTGCAAAAATTAAGAGAAAAAAGGTTAACCACTTACAGTTTCACTTTTATCGCTAAGGTTTTGGTAAAATCAGCTAAACTCAAGTAAAGTTTCTTTGAGAGTCCAGAAAACGAAGAAGTCTTTTCAGAGCTGTACATGTCCTTTTGTTTGAATGTCCCTTGCGTTTCGGTAAATGCTTGTCCTCCGCCGTGAATAATCTCACTGTAGCGTAGGTTTTTGAAATAGCGTTACACAAAAAATATAATTCCTCTGAGACACTTTGGTTGAAATTTAACACCATACATTTAATCACTGGTAAAGGCACTCCTCTATGGTACAGGCTGTCTATTTTTGTCGGTTACTTGTTTTCCAGTTTTAGGACGAACACAACAAATCCTGCCTCACTTCGTGTCTTGTATGAATGAGTTGAAGTTCATAAATGTAGTTTCCTTTAACTTGCGCAAATCCTTTGACAAATTCCCGAGTACACAAGACGAATTTTTCTCTTAACTGGCGTTTTACGGTGTTTTCTCATTCTTTTTGTGTCCATCTTGAGTATTTTTGCGTTGAAAGTTTTCTTTTGATGAGCAAACTCAACTGAAGTGAACAACAAACTACAAAATCAACAAACTGTCATTCAAAGTGGCGTGAGAGAAGGCTTGTGACGTGGCGACAGCTGATTGGTTATATAACTACCCACGTGGTAGAATTTTCCCGCCTTTTGTTTGGTAGCGCAGCAAGCGTTTCTTCAGACGAGACGCAGGTTTTTTTGCGCCTCCCCTCCCAACCTAGCCTGAAATTCATCCGATTGCTTCGAGTCGTTTTCTCCTCTCAAGTAATAACGACTCGAGGTAATCGGATGAAATTCAGGCTACTCCCAACCCCCACTAAGGAGAAACCGATCTGTGACAATTTTATCAGACCAAGAGTTAATAGAAGAAAGGGCTCCAAGGGTTCAATAATTCGCACATTTTTAGAGTATATTATTTGATTTTGCTGTTTTAAAAGTCTTGCATGCAAATTTTAGGGGTTGAAAAGTAGAATGTGGTCTTTAAGCTGCGAGCACCTTTAGAGGTGTGTCCAAGAAGTCAGATGCATTTTTTTGTTGGTTTTGTCGTTTCCCCTTCTTTTTCATATTTTTAACTCCTTTTTGCAACAGAACTTTAGTTCGTGAGGCCGTTGCTTTTTCTGTATGTAGGTAATTTCTAATCACTATTAAACGGCACAAAAATTCGGAAATTTGGGGTTGACAAGGAAAAATCTGGAACGTCTTGCCCAGCAACCTAAAGGCTGGTTTACACTAGAGAAGGAGTCGGAATTGGAGTCGTAAGATCGCTTATGACCTAGTGAAAATCAAAAATCGGAGTCGTAAGCGGAGTAACCTGAGATCAGGCTCTGTTTTCGTTTCGCTTTGAAAATTATATTCGGGCGGGCAAGGCGATTTTTTTAGCGGTAGCCGTTAGAGAGAATGCCTGAGAACCGCTAAAATTGGGCCTGATCTCAGGTTATAAACGGAGTCATAAGCGCGCCGGAATCGGAGTCAAAAGAATTAGAGTGTTTCCATTTCTCCCGACTCCGCTTACGTTCCGCTTATGATCTAGTGAAAACCAGTTTGTCGGAATCGGAAGCAGAAGCAGAAGGATAAGCCAATCCCGATGCACGTTTTCACGCTTTGTGATTGGTTTGGTTCTTCCGCTTCTGCTTCCGACTCTGACAATCTGGTTTTCACTAGATCATAAGCGAAACTAAGCGGAATCGGAACGCTGTTTTCACTAGATCATAAGCTCTACACTTTTGATTACGACTCCAACTCCGACTCTGTCGCTAGTGAAAAGCAGCCTAAATTTTGAGACACTCACTAGAAAGTTTTTTAGCGCAGCGGCACTCGCAAGACCATTCAGGACGAAATTACTGTTTAGGGCATGCGGATTTTAAGACTTTGAACTAAATAAGGTCTCGGAACGGATTGCAAAATGAGCAAGATCTCTTGTTTAGTCCCAAATATAACTAAATTAAAGAAGCAAAACGTCTTTGTCGCAAGCAGAAATGTATATAGTACTAGTTTGACTAGTTTTGTAGAAATGACCTCTTTTCGGGGTGGATCAGCTTGAGCTTTACTCAGAGTGGTCTTTAAGCCCCAAGAGTGATCAACATGAATTTTCTCTTCACAATATCAAAACATCATCAAAAGAAAAGGTTAGGAGAAGTAGTAAACTGTTGAACAAAGCAGAAATACTTCGATCTTTTATCAAGTTTTCTCGACTAATTCTATAAGGCAATGTATGGACACTAGTGTGGAGAATTTGTATTTGGATATTGGGGCTTAATGGGTTAAGGGTAACATTCTAGTTGTCCGATGAGCATACATGACACGTCCTCATCACACAGTAGTCATCCCCTGGGGTTATTTTTACCCCTTAATTTCTTATCACTTAAAGAAAGATTTCAAGATCTAGACTCACACTTTCGATCTTTTAAACGTTGCTTTAAAAGTTGAATGGTGTTTGTGTTATTTTGTGATTTGTTGTAGGATGGTAAAGGAAACCCCAAGCCTGAACATAAATGGCCATCAGAAGACTTTTGGAAAAGGCGGTACCCCAGTCTCTTTTCTCACTCATCAAATGAATCACAGCCGCAAAAGCAACAGGTTGGTCATCAACTTTGGCAAAAGAAAATCGAGTATAATATTTCCTGAGTTTGGTTATTTCTTGAAAATAAAATAAAAAACTAAAAAAAAAACAGTCTGTTTAAAAAGAGTATGGTTTTTCTTCAGCTTTTCAGGAGTTCACTTATTATAAACTGAAACTGAGGGAACAGGAAATGTGTTTTGTATCATAGTAGTTTCAGGCTCTTTTTTTTTTTTTTTTTTTTTTTCTAGTCGCGATTTCATAAAAACTGAGTCAAATCAAAACAGTGCAGTTGAATATAAGTCTTACTAACAATAACAAGTTATTTCTGTGGTCTTAGGCTCTTAGCTCACTTCTTTTAAGAAGTGAGCTAAGTCATACCGAAACCGACAATTCTCTTACAAAGGTGGGTTTTAGTTGTGGAAGTTACTGTCCGAACAATATTGCAACTGGCTGCAATCCGTTTCGGAAATACCTCTGGTTTTGGAAACGACCTAAAGTTTCTTTCATACGTTTTTTACCCTTCGGAAGTCGATTTAATCGTGCACTTTGAAAAAACTTGGTGAACTTCGTACGTGAAGTTTAAACAAGCCGGATTTTGGTAGAAAATGGGGATCATTGTGATGTTTATTGATTTGGAAATTTCATCGTTGTCGCTGTTGTACAGCATTTTTACGCATTTTAAGCAAACATGGAGCTTGAGGCTTGCATCAACTAGTCAACAGTAGACTGAGGTTCTGTCTTTGTATAGTTTTGTTTTCAGTACTGACAGAAGAGTTTCTTTTTCTCAATCATCTTATTAGCTCATTAACTCTTAGCCTATTCCAGGTGTTCAGATAAGTGGAAAGTGCCGCTATCAACTATTATATCTCAAAACCTGAAACAGACTCATTAACTCTTGTTTTCTTTTACCACTCGCACAGATTCCGGCAGAGACTCGCCTCAGTATTCACTACTCACCATTCACCGCTGACGAACAAGACACCGTGGGAACATTTCCAGCGCCTCCTGATCCTACTGGTAAGGTTTCTTGTCCCCTAGCCCCTCCCCCCTCAGTTCCCTGCCTTTCCAATCACAGATGTAACAAAACCTATTGGCGATTAACACCCTGAGCACTAATAAGAAGTTGTACATGAGTTCGTTGCGGTCAAACGTCAGTTTTCTTTTGTGAGATTTCCTTCTTTTTAATAATTGCGGTGTAGACGTGCGACAAGTTGCTGTTGTCACATCCTGTCCATAATTTTGGCGAAAGAAGTCGGACTTCCACGATTATGTTTATTCATTAGTCTGTTTATAGACCAAAAAGGTACTCTACGTAGCACTACCCGGCATGAGTATTTAACGGACCAGGCCTTTCTGCCATATACAGAAACGAAAAGCATGTTAATAGTTACAACAGCCACTGAGGAAGTTTAAAAGGAAAAGATCTTCTTTCTCTTGTTCCGATGTAGATATTTTCCGGTGTTACCTAAAGTGAGCGTTGTTTGCACTAATTATTTAAACTTACGTGGTAAAACGAGGGGGCATTAGATTAAGAAAGGTTAAATGTTCTAGAAGTCAATCAGTCTGAAATCGATCGTTTCCTTTATACCATCATGTGACGTGGGATCCTTATTTCTTCCTTTAGCTGATCCAATGTTAGCAGAGCTGTCCATTCCTACTCGTGGGATGCTAATTTCTACCTTTTTTCCTCAACAGCTGATCCGATGTTAGCAGAATTGGAATGTTTGTCCATTGATGAGATAATGAGGCCGGACAAAAGCGATGAGCCAAATTCACATTGCTGTTCTTGTTTATTAGTTTGAAACAGCGTTAAGGATTATTGAGAACGACTCCATGGATCAGTGGTTTACTCAATTACAAAGTTGTTGATAGGCCGCGAATGTTATTGAGCATTGCTAGCCCCAAGAGTGTCAGAGCTCAAGGTCGTACCTTTACTTTCGTGGTCGGAAGGTTTTGAGGACTTTGTTCAGTATTCATCATCCCTGGGATGCCTGTGCGTATCAGAGCCTCAAACTTATTGATAGGAGCGTCATTCACCGATGTAAGACACCTGGAGGACACTAACACCCGTAATGAAGAGTGAAAGAATAAAAATGCCATTGATTATTTGGAAGCAAGTTAGGTGAGATTATTAACAAACAAAGGTGAAACTATTAAGATGAAATTATCAACAAACAAAGATAACAGGGTTGGTCGAGCATTGCCCGAGAGGGGTCGGTTTGACTGACATGTTTCACTTTAGTAGGAGGCACACCCTTTTTTGGTTCTCTTCTTTTGGTTTGGCCAAATCTTTAAAATGGTATTTTGCTGTATTAACCACGATCTAAAAGTTTTGAACTGACTTTTCTGCGCGATAAACCGTATGTTTCTCTTTGTTTACTCCACAGGACATGTGGCCACAGACTGAGATTCAAGATTTGCCCCAGTTGGAACGCTTGTGCCTTAATTAAAGAGGTAACTATGCCGGATAACGAGCAATCATTTCAAGGGCATTGTTTGAAACAGTATTCAGGGTAGACCTTTATTGTTAAAAACTTGTCAATCAAGCTCTCTTTGGCGGAGGAGTCAACCAGATTTGGTGGTTAGCAAGGTTACGATAACTTCACTGTGCTTTGGAGCCTCGTTCTCATCAAGGAAGGAATTTTGACCGGACACTTCCTTGATACGGGACCGTTCATTATTTTCACTCTGTTCACACGCAAATTTGAACGCTAGGCGTCTGATTTTTGTGGTTCTGTGAAATGAATACCTAAACGCACGAATTTTTAACGGGATGAGAATTCGTCAAGTGTCGGGTGAACAAAGACCGGAAGGTTTTCCGGGTTGTCTGTCCATTTGAATTATTAGGCCAGTCACGGGTTATTAGTGGATGTACATAATACGTTCAAGAGAGCGTCGACGTATTTGTTTCTGGGGCATGCTTGAGCTACTTTTGGCTAAAAAGTCTAAAAGTTTTAACGACTTTCACGAATTCTGAAAACGTTGCGTAAGGGTGCTGTAGAAAGGAAATTTCGTCGAGTGCTAAGTACTATTACAGTGTAGTTGTCATTAACATTTCATTTTGATTTAACGTTGGGTCTATAATTAAACGACTACTTTAAGTCGTATAATTAAGTGACGCTTCAGTCAGTCCTCAAAATCTTGCATATATAATCACTCGAACTACATGACACTATTTCCTCGTTTGCAGGAGTTGAATCTTCCCAGTTCACCTTCTAAAGCGTACGATGAACAAGGTTCCTTACAAGGTTGGTTATAAACAATAATTAAGAAAAAAAGGCAAATTTACATACGATCTTACAGTATAACCAAGTTTTTCCATTCCGCGCACAATACGGACACTTAACCATGTCACTTTGGTGTCCGTATTAACAGGGCTTCACTGAATGTCTGCTTCTCAAAGAGTTCTTAGAAACTGAGTCATACAAAATTGATTTTATAATTACAGAAGAATCCCATGGAAGAAAACAGAAAGCAGGAAAAAAGTGCAGGAGATGACTGAAGGTATACTAAAGGTCATTTAAATCCATATTATAGTTGATATCAGAAAGGAGAGACCTTATTTAGTCCTTTATACTGAGTCCATTTTGTTGTGACACCCTTTGACTACAAAAACGCAAACTTATTTCCTTTTTCCCTATTCAGTGTTAGTGTGAGGTTTAAATTATGTAGTGTTTTATTAATTTGGATACATCGACGAAACACTCGCTATTTTTTCGGAATACTTGGAAACAATTCTCTCTTGCTGGAAAGTAATGAACTTCCTCGCTGCTTTTTTTACTACTAGAAATTGTCGAACCTCAGCGAAAGAAAAGGAAAAGAAAAAAGGGAAAGCAGAACAAGGCACCGAAACGGGTGAGCTATGTGATACAACGTTTATTTAAATCCTTACATTATAACAGAATGCGAATTTCTTTGTTCCGTGAAAATCGAAGGTCAGTTTGTTTAAAAACCTCTGAGATTGGACAGCAGGCGCAGGTGCAGAACCTTTTTATCAACTTCCGAATGAGTGAAAACCTGTGTGTTAATTTTATAATAAAACTGAGTTCTTGGCTGTTTTTCTTTACATATCTAGGTGACGAAGAGTCTCCACGAAAAAGAAAGAAAAGAAAAAAGCGTTAAGTACATCGGATGACTGAAGGTACGCTAAAAAAGTTTTATCGTTGACTTTAATTTATACAGTTCCTAACAAATGTACAAGGGTAAAGATCTCAGGCATACATCCTTACGCTTGAGTAGAGATCTGTGTCTTCGCAGTTTCTTTTTATCAAATAATAAAAGCTGTTTTACCATTAGAAACTGATGAATACAAAATTAAATCATTTGTTGTGTTTTTAATAACTAGACGTGGAAGGAACTTCACGAAAGAGAAGGAAGCGAAAGAAGCACAAAGAACACCGGAGAGATATAGGTGCGCTGAAAGACATGGCGTTAATCAGTTTAGATCAATGGTTTATTTGAAACAGACGTTTCTATAATTTTGTGCCTTGCCAGAAACCCGTTATCAATCAGTCGAAAACCGTTTGTTGAAAGTCCGGAGAGCGGCCAATTAAGAGCACCTGCATCTCAAATTAACCTCTGATTGAATGGAAGTCTCTGACTTTATTTTAAGGAAGTCGTGGCCTGTGTAAAGACGCCCCCTCCCTCAAAAAATCGAAGAGAGAGTCTCTATCCTCGATATTTTCATCGGATGGGGCGTCTGTAGACAGGCCAAGGAAGTGGTGAAAATAAAGTTAAGTCTTTTCGTTTGTCGTCGTAAAACAGTAGTGAATGTTGGAACAATCAGTTTAGAATGTTTGGATAATCAACTGATCAAAATCAGTACCCGTTTTTCGGGTAGTGACGTCACTGAACAGCATTAGCGCTCGTTGATTTAGACGTTTTTCTCGAGTGTTTGCGACTCACCTGGATCAAACTACGATGAAACACGGGAATGAAAATACTTCATGCATGAATGTTAAAAAAACGTGAAGACGCCAAACACGTTTCCTAGTTAACCTTGAAATCATCTCTTCTTGTAAACTGTTACTAGACTACAAATAACACCAACCCTTTTTAAATATCCGAAAGTAATGACTACCCGAAAGAAACGACCTCTTTAATCTGATGTCCTCCTGTTACTTTCCAAGTTGTACTGTAACAGCTTATTTTGTTCATGAAATCCGATATCAACATGATCAAGCAGCTAAAACAGATTTGTTTAAAGACCTCTGAGAAAGGCAAATTTGCGTGGCTGCAGCACAGTCCTTAGAACCTTTGATGGATTGGAAGTCTGTGTCTTTATCATAGTACCCTCTTATGAGAAAGTCTTAAGAAGTTATGTACATTAAATGAAAACTTTTCGGTTGTTCTTTTGTACATTTAGGTGACGAAGAATCTCCAGGGAAGAGAAAGAAAAGAAAGCGGCATAAAGCGCATCGGGTGACTGAAGGTTGGCTAAAAGTCAGCATCATGTAAATCAATAGTTCATACAAAACAACCTAGAAAATACTTCACAACAATATAAACAGAACGTAACCTTACTTTGTTCCGTGAAACTCGGTATCAAAGCAAACATACGGTATTTTGTTTTTTAAATTTGAAATTCAATTTGATTGATTGAGCATGTGTGCTTGGTTTTATAACATCTGTTTGTAACCGGTCATAGAAAGTGATGAACTGAATCCTGAAATTAAATGTTTCGTTTGTTTATTTTTCATATCAAGGTGACGAAGAACTTCGTCGAAAGAAAAGCAAAAGAGAATAGGATAAAGGACAGCGGATGACTGAAGCAGAAGGTTCGCTGAATGTAATAATCATTTCCCGTATTTACTTGAATAAGCGCCGCGGTGCTTATAAAAATTTGCACGCCTCAGATGCGGCGCTTATTCGATGGCGGCGTTTATTTGAAAGTTAGACTCCACAAAGGATTATTAACTATGGTATTATTATTTTCCGTATTAATTTATTACAGAATTAACATCTTTTGATTTTGATTATATCAGGGCGGCGGTGCTTATTTGAGTAAAGACGGTATTTAAATTCAATCGTTTTAATAACATGTACCAGTACAATTGTATCTATATTACCTCCAGCAACAGTTGTTTTATGAAAGGGTAGAAAAAAAAATTACTCGAGGGTAATCGGCTGCTATAGCCACATGCACTCACTCAAGTTTCCTTTTTTTTCTACTTCTGTCACCAGTATAAGAAATTTATGGAGTTAATTTGGCGATTAACACCCTGGTTGATTGAGTACCCATGAGACACTAGCGAGCCCCAGTTAACAGTTTCCGCGTTACAACCATTTTCATTTTATGTAGTAAACCTAACCGACCGTTATAAATAAACAAACTACAAACTGTATATTATTACAAAAAAAAAGTCAGGATCGAGGTCTTAGATGAAAGGTTCCTTGCGATACACCTTGGTATGTTGTGTAAGATTTTCCAAGGAGACATTTTCCCGTGTTAGCTTCAGGGGTCAATGAATGGACATTTTATGACATATTGCATGAGTGCTTCAAATAATTGCAAAACTAAACCGCATCGTATTGAGGGAGTAGTATACTTAAAGGCCATGAGTATGTAATTAGTGTTTCGCGCTGCACTATAATGTCACTTGGGGGTGATCCTAATTTGTAGCTTTATTTCACTGCAGATGGTCCGGTTTTTGCGGGAGCTCCTATAATTCCTATAGAGTGCATTGATCCAGCCACGGTCTGGCACCCTTCGATGAAAACCTCCCTCTTAATTCATGGTTTGCGGGGATCGCCACTGTTTGGCCGGGAAATTGTAACAGTGGTTCTGTTACGTTCTTAGTCTGACCACACCCTCCAATTATCCCAGGGGTATTTTTTGCTGTATAAAGTGCTGGGCCGGAACTGCCACTACGTAGATTGCAATCGGAAAGTACAATTCCTAGCGGGAGGCATCTCTCTCTGGAATCGCCATTGCCTGGGATGAAGAATAGAAGTCCAGTTGTCTTTAAACTCGTACAAAATGTCGACAATCCCTTCGTTGAACAATCCTTGAATCTGACGCAAGTCTATAAGCGACTAAACTACGGCGCACAAAAACGTTTCAATGATTTCAAATTTTTGGTAACAGCGTATTTCAAAAGTACAATCTGGTCACTACTGTAAATAACATTTCATTATTTTTTGACACGAAAAAGTATCAGTAATTGGCATCGAACACGTACTAAATGTATACAGTCCTTGGAATCAATCTGAAATAAGTCCGTGGGCGACAATATTACTCTGCACATACTTGTTACGGTGTAAGATTTGTACAAATTCTAATCTTTGTGAAGTGTAATAGATTTTTGGTATATTTATTGCTGTAAATAATATTCAATTAAACTTATTGACACGAACAAAACTGTAATTCTGCTGTGTGATCTGTACTGTTATCCTCTTATTGTTTCCGCTTGTATAAAAACAGCATTATCGTATTTGGTGCTTACTGCGGCGCAAATTATATCAATGTAGGGTCATATATTTTCATCACGCGCCTCCCCGCTATGCAGGGTCAATAGTAGTAAAATAAGCTACAAGTAGATACTGCAATTTCCCACGCCTGAGGAAATTTGAATACCGTATTTATTCGAATAAGCGCCCAACCTCGAATTAGCGCCCACCTCGAATAAGCGCCCATCCTAAAGGCAGAAAAAGTTAATAAGCGCCCAGCCTCGAATAAGCGCCCACCCACACCACACCTTCCTCCCACTCCCACTCAAACTCAAATTAGCGACCACCCCTAAAACTGAATAATTGCTAATAAGAGACTTTCCCGAAGACGGAGTTTTCTTCAAAGTATTTTACAGGAACGTTGCTTTGTTACGTCTTCGCGTTTTGTTATTACCATTTATTGTTTTGTTGCAAAATACACATACTACACTTGCTGAAAATGTTGAAAATTTAATAAGCGCCCAGCCTCGAATAAGCGCCCACCTCGAATAAGCGCCCACTCTCAAGGTCCAAAAATTTAATAAGCGCCCAGGGCGGTTAATCGAATAAATACGGTATACCAAGCGACCCCCACAAAGTTTCGTTAACTTGTTCGCTACCTTGCTATCTCAGAAGGTAAAGCATTGGTTACCTGAAGGGTACGAGTTTTTATCCAACCTCATCCTTCCCTTTGTGGTGGGTGCATAAGAATTATAACGCACACATAAGAATGCACGTGGCGCCCGCGAGGAAGGAGAAGACGCGCGTGTATTTCCTCCCTCACACGCGTGCGGCGGGATATTTAAACCGTGAATGGAAAGTGTGTGGCAATCGGGGTACTCCTGCTACGAATGTTTTTTTTAAATGCAGTGGAATTTTCAGAGGCTCATTATTTATTACGCGTATTAGACGCACTTTTATCGTCTTGTAAGTGTATTTACAAATAAAACAAACAAGTAAACGTGTAATTGAGCGCGGTGCAGGCCGAAACAAGCGTGTACCCGCAAAACGGCTCTCTCCTCATTTTCATTGCATTCCAGCTGACTGAAAATAATGTGATTCAGTCCTCTCACTGACTAGAAACACAAACAATATAAAATGGCGGCCAGAGGCGGAATTAGACAGCAGATCAAAATACTATAGTGCACTTTTACAATTATCCTTCATGCACTCCGATGAACAAGTGTTGAAGAATCGAGAGATAAATAATTGAAGACCACGACGCTGACAGTTTTTTTCGCGTGTACGGTAAAACCCGAGAACTGACGAAAAACTTACAGTAAAGAGAATCAAAATACCTGAAAATGACCGTCGTTCTTGCTCCACCTCTTCTACTGGTAAAGGAAAAACTCGCAAAATTCTTGCCCGACAGCCGCCGTTTTGTGTACTCTTGAACTCGAGGTCATCGTGTGGAACTCCGCGTATGTCACAACTACAAACAAAAAGAATAAACCATGTTGTAAAGTCTTTAGTTTATGACTGTACCAAACTGACAAAGGCAATAGTCAGTATGACCTAACGGATGCAAAGAGGAAATTAAACTTGCCTATTGCGCGTCTTAATAGCTATGAAAATAAGGTTCTGAGCACAAACGACATTTCATCCATAAAACGTGTATTAATTAGGAAGTTTGTCAAGTTTCACATTGTAGTCGTGCAACAACAACGACAAACAAATAAACAAAGAAACGTGATGCACGTGCAAAGTTGTTTTTTTGCTAATGAGGCCTTTTGATTTTTGATAAATACAGTTCTACATGCAGTGTGCTTTCTTTTGTTTCTAAACGCGATAACATTTTACTTGCTTGCCCTTTTTAGAATGGCTCAGTTTCCTGGCATGTTTGTGATCGAACTAATATTAAACACAGATTTAAGAGATTTCTTCGCAGCGGCTTTAAGTTTGTTTTTTGTTTGAGTGTATAAACGAGAACTTCGCTGTTAGCCTTGGCTAAATCTACATATCGGCTTTAACTTTTCTTGGTTTGAAACCACGTGACAAGGCGGCCATGTTGGATGACAATGCAGTAGCATTTTTTCATGAAGAATTCTCATGAAAATAGAATTAAGTTCCCAGAGGAAATAAGTGTTCTTGTTCTTTTCATCCAACATGGCCGCCTTGACGTCACGTGCAAACCAGCAATAGTAGGGTGACTGTGAGGAGGCTGGCAGAGACTTTCTTAGGTCCTTTTTTCTGGGTAATAGGTGGAGAGGAAAAACTTCCCGCGACTTCGTCAAAAAATGTCGAACTGTTCGCAAATTTTAGGCTAGCTCTGAAACTAACCTAAGTTCCAAGGTATAACCTTTAACTATCCAATCAGGAGCCCATAACCATTACTGTCGAAATTCTCCCAATGCAGATTGCGAACTGAAACGCTTCTGACAAGCAGTGAATTCAATTATAATGAGACAATGTTGTTATAAGTTATAACTTTAGTCAAAAGAAAGCTACAGAGCAGTACTTTCCTGTGGTGCTGTTTATTATGCTGTACAAGGTGGTTCTAACTTTTGGGTCTGAGGATGAAATCCTAAAGTGTGACCATTCAAATGAAAGCTACTGAGCAGTACTTTCCTGTGGTACTGTTTATTATACTGTGCAAGGTGGTTCTAACTTTTGAGTTACTGTGGATGAAATTTTGAAGTGTGACCATTTCTCGTGAAGCAGCGACATGTGAATAGCTATCGTGTATAAATAGGCTTGGTTGATGAAAACATATATTCTCTTACTCGCTAGATCAACAACTGTGACGACCCTGTTACTGTAACGGCTTCCATGGATGTCCCGGATCTGGATATCACGTGGTCTCATACCTACAGTGGTGATGACAAAATTCCAGTGCCCGGATTTAGCGTTTCTGTTGGTGGTGTGTACGTTCAAATAGAACTCACCAATAACGGAGATACACTGCATTTAAAGGTGTGTTCTAAAGGCTTTCATTTATAATCACCTGGAAGGAACGGGGGTTGGGTGGAGGGGGGAAGAGAGTGGTCGTCAAAATCCGTTTCAATTTCCAATCCATACTTTCCAGTCCCGCCATTCACACAAGTCATTTCCCACAGGGCGTTTCCCAGCAAAATAATTGAAAGCTCCCTTACGTCACGATAAATAAACAATTGGCTAATTGGCGGGGGTCTCATGTGACCGGTGAGGGTAAAAGGAGGAATGAGTTTGCGGAGTGACATAATTATGCGGAATGTAATATATGCTGAATGGCTGAAAGAAATAAATTAAACGGAAAAGTGCACCCTTTTTTGGCGACAATCAATTTGCAAAAGTAGCGACTTTTTTAATTTTGCGGGCTCGACTACGATGACAATCAAAAAGCCACGAAGGATTCCTTGATTTCTCACTCTCGATTAGCCTTTTTCGCACAGCCAGAAAGATTAGATTTATTCAGGCGGGCTGCATGGCATTACCGATACTACATCACTAAAGTCGGCCATTGAAGAAAAGATGTTTTGGAAGGTTACGCTCCCCTTTGCTTTAATTTTTCTCCAAAAGTTGTTTGCACGATTAACTCCACAGGTTTCTTACCTTTACTTGTAGAGCAGAACCCCTATATCTCGAACTCAGATAACTCGCACTCCCCGCTCACTCGAACTAAGTCCAATTTCCCCTGGATTTCATCCCACTTTTCATTCATTTTTTACTCGACCGTTAACTCGAACTCGGATATTCGAATTCTCCGCTGACTCAAAATAAATTTTCTTTCCTTTGATCAGAAACTTCGCAAAATTTAACCCAGTAACTCGAATTCTGGTTCTTGGAACTCCACTCAGATACCATCTAATTAGTTCTTCTTGGATGAATGGTAAAAACACTCAAAATAAGACCGGTCAGCATTACAGCAATTTGATTTTAATTGGTGCGAACAGATTACGTTTTATGACTAAAAATGGTTAATCATTTTACCGTTTCTGATGAAATAAGATAGATTTGTACTGCACTATACACTGAAGTGTTGAAAGACCAGTAACTAGCAATTTTAACATGGCAAATTGAATTGCAATCGACTCCCATAACTCGAACCCTCGTTAACTCCAGCTGTAACTCGACCTGTTTTTCCTTTCCCTTCAGAGTTCGAGCGGACTGGCGTTCTACTATATTTGAAACTGCGTGAGAAGTGGTTCGCGTGATCGTGACATAATATTCAGAGATCAAATATATCCGACTTCATGCACGTTCAACGAGCGTTCTGTTCCCTCTAGCGTTACGATAAAGAGTGACCCTTGATTTGAGTTTAGTGAAGTACAGGTTAGATACAGGACAAGACAGATTTGCGACACAGTACGTCTGCGCGTATTTACGAGGCTTATTTGTTTATTTCATTTGGGACTACCGAGTCTACCATCCTGCATTTCTTAGCAGCCTCGTAAAGCCTACCGCTACTAGAAGTGATTTCCTCCATAATCCTCGTAAACTCCAACGCGCTGCTCAAGCTTCTTGGTTTGAGCCAGCAATAATAAACGGACCGGCAGAGCGGTTGCTCCTTCAAATTTGTGCCAAAATAAGGCGCGGCAGAGACGCGCGTATGCTTTTCTGTTTAATTTATTCCTCCGTGCCATTTCCAAATATTGCATTCCGCATAATTATTTCATTCCGCAAGCTTGCCACATGCCATTCCGCACACTCATTCAGTCTTTTACCCTCACTGAGGGTCTCAATGGGGTGGTGGCATTTACGGTTATCGGCTAAAATTTTGGCTCTTTTACGGCTATCGGCTAATTTTTTTCAGTTACGGTTAACAAAAAAGTTAAAAATTAACTTGTTTTGTTTCAAAAAGTTAAATATTAATTAACCTGTATTTTTTGTATCTTTAAAGCAAAATAAAGGTCTTAAGATCATCTCAGTATGAAATAAGCTATTCTTTTGAAAAATTTTAACATTCGATAGACCATACTTTTTATAAAGTATTCCACTTCTAATATTATTTCACTCATAAAAATGTCAATAATCAATTTAAAAATAATCTTTGTGAAAAAGCAAAGCACACGCGCGAACGCCTAACTCAAGGCCGGGGCGCGACATTCATTACAACAGAAATGGCCGTTTTCACACTAAAGACGGATTATTCGTGTGAGACGGGTTATCCGTTAGATGATTCGCGTCAGATAGGTAATACGTCTTAATTTGAAAACGGAGTAGTTTTAATTTTGCATGAACAATCCGCCTGACTTTATCCTTCAACTTCGACGGACAGTTTGAACACGTGATTATCCGTTCCAGATAGCCTGTGTACAGCCGCCCCTTCCCCTCAGAAAAAAAATCGAAGAGGGGGTGTCTGTCGGGAAGGGGGCGACTGTACACAGGCTAGTCTCAGACGGATAATTGGTTTCTAGCTCTAGTGTGAAAACGGCCAATAACATAAATCCCGTGTCCAGTGTTTACAATGGTAGCGAAGGACTGTACGGAACCACTGTCAGCCGTTTTGCCTTGTCCGTAGGACTTATTATTTCGGGCGGCTAATACGTTTCGGGTCACGTAGTCCGAGCGAGTTCGCCACCGAAATGCCTTGACCGAAATTGCGTGGGAAGACGCCGTACAGGGACTAGGCATGGCAATGTCTACCGTAGCGTCAGAGAAAAACAGGGAAATATTGTTTTTCGGCAACTTGTTTTACAAACAGTGAGATCTCTTCGTGTTGTTTCACTATTGTTTCGAGGGCACGACCTCCTGAAAATCGCAAATATTAATCCCCAGCAAGAAGCCACACTTTCGCTATGGAAAAAAAAATAAGTTCCCCGAGAAAGCGGCCGACATGGAAATGGGTCTTGGTCTTCACCTAAAAGGCGATTTACCTAACGTGCGTAAGGAGCCAGACTAGCCGGGAAATAAAAAACGCAACCATAAGTGAGTTTAGTACCTGAGCAAATCTAGGGAACAATTTCTTTTACGGTTAACTTTTTTTTTTACCCTATTTACGGCTAACGGTTAAAATTTTTCAATTTTTACGGCTATCGACTAAATTTTTGGCCGTTTTACGCCTGTCGGTTAACCCCATTGAGACCCTCCTCACTGTGATGCTTCGCGCTCTTCGACTCGCTCTTCTTTCCGCGCCAAACTTCCTCAGCGACAAAGAGCGAGGAGAAACGGCTGTTTTCGCAGGCTAGACTTGTTCTAACGTGGTACGTCAACTAGCTCAAGTAAGTTAAGACATAAAAATCAAAATCAAAACCCACATACAGAAACGAATCCTCGAAAACGAAAAGGAAACAACTGCTTACTGTGTAAATGGTTTTCTACATTTTTTATAAAAAAATTGCGCTTGGCAACCAGGAAGACTAAATGTTTTTTACTTCTTCATGCTGATCATATTTTTGATATGAAAAGGTCTTTCTAGTTGCAGCTTTCAAACTACTTTTGTAAGATTTGAATGAACCATCACTCAATTGAATGGAATCAGTTGAAGGTGACTGTTTTATCTTTTACCAGGTGAATCTGCTGGTCGGAGCAGTGGGTGTTTATCTCCCCCCAGTCACTGTTGTGGATGGAGACTTGCCGATCTCAACTGACGATTGTGGCAAGTAAAACTGATCTTGATCAACATGGCGTACTATATCTAATTAAAAGCAGTTCTTGTCACGAGTAATAATCTGTACGATAAAGCGGTGTCCGACACTAAATATAAGCACTTTACTTAGAGCGGGACACCCGCGGGACAAAATTAAGACCTTAATACGAGAGGGACAACCGCGGGATTATATTAGGTGCCTTCCATACGTGTATACATCGAACTGAATCAGTGTTAGCGTGCGTAGCAGGTGCTTGGAAGTAGTCGCGCGCAAGAAAGAGGTAGACACGCGTGTCTCACTCTGGCACGCTCGTTCTTTCTTGCGCCCAAATACTTCCAAGTGCCTGCTACTCAGGCTAAATCAGCTTGTCCACCTCGTAACCATAGTAGCACAGACAAAGGAGTAAAATAAAGAGGAACTCCGATATAAACAAGTGCCAGGTGTACAGAAAAATACAACGGGGCTGGTTCTTTACTGGGGAGTTTCGTTTCATTCATTTTCGATCATTGCAGATATCGGAGTTACGTAGGGCTGGTTCGATTTACTGATGAATAACTGTTCATTTCCACGGTGCAATACGTGTAAGAAAGGTGTCAGCTTGAAAAGAAATGACCAAAATTTGTTGTTTTTAGGATTCTTCGGATGGTTTATTGACCTAAGTGTTCCTGCCAAAATAGCAGTGATCGCTGGAACGGTTGTTTTTCTCATCGCCGTCTGCTGTGGCTGCTGTTGCTACTGCTGCTGTAGGAGGCGCCGCTCCGCCAATCAAGGTCCTATCATCATCGCGCCTGGTGTTGGTACTTCCGCTGTCATGACAACGAATGCCAACACTCGGGTTCCCATGCGACCATTGGTCGAGGAGGAATGAGCCCCAACTAGCCCCTAAGTTCTTAGAACTGAGTGTCTCCCAATGCAGCCTTGAGCCCTCATTATACGCAGCCAAACTTATTTAGGCCTTTTTTGTGTGATGAATTAACCGTAAAATCAACCATATATCGTTTGAAATAACAATATGAAGTTTTGCTATTATCAAGTTTGTTGTTTTGAGTACTCTTTTTGCCTTAGCTTGTCTCGTAGATAATGGATTTTCTCCCCCATGATTGGTACCCAAGTGAAGACCAGCCTTACATGTTTTCATGGAATTTACGTTATGTTGTAATGGTTCAAAAACAGTTGATTATGAGATTTTGTTAGCCAGCCTACGAATGAAATAGACTGTAGACCACGCTTAAAATGAGTCAGGTCAGAGTTGAACACTGGAAATAGGAATTAAGCATCGACTATAGTAATTAGGATTAAGAACTAACAGTTATATAGTGATAAGAGTTAAACATTAATGGAACTCGATATGTTTTGCATTTTTTTAGGTTTAGGTTTGCTATTGTATGCACCATGTATTTTGATCAAAGTAGTAGCTGACAACGAATTTGAAAGATTCTAACCTTTTTTTGACTTAACTCATGACTCATTTTGACTCATTTGTACCTATCTCTAGCTATTTCAGTGTAAACGGAGCCTAAACGGGCCACCACATGTTTCAGCTGATAGAGGTTCGATTGTAATTAGTATGAATAAATCAGCGTTTTTGATTGAAATGTAGTGCGTATTCTTGGCTCAGTTCTCTTCTCCACTTTATTTTAACCTCAAGTCAGTTCGCATTAGAATATTTTATCTTCTTTTTCCTTTTGTTTCTTAAGACACAAACTTGATAAACTGAGAAAAAAGACGCCACTTTACCCTTTACCCCATTAGAGGAAAACATCCTAAAAAGAATAGTTTTATACGGATGGAGATCAAGCTTTTGAGATAGGATGATACGTATTATAGTGAAGAAATATGTTCAATAATGGAATGTTCAATAATTTTGTTCCAGACTCGTAGCGTCCACGCTTTCATTTTCTCAGGACATGATCATAGTTGAAAGAACAAACCAGAAGGGACTGGGATTAACTCTATTGTGTTCGCGTTCGTCAACAGAGCGACCAATAGAGCCGGTGTTTTTACATGACGTCACGGTGGCCATATTGGTGTCCCAAAACAATGAAACGGCGGCCATATTGGTGTCCCAAACCAGTCCTCAGGGAGTTGAACTCTTTTCTTTCTTTTGTTCCAAGCAATTTGCATAAACGCTGGCCACGTGAGTGAAAACACTCTATTGAGATTCTCAAATATATAGGTGCGTTTCTTTGAGATCATCCAGATCAGGATCAGTGATCCGAGATCACTCGGATCAGTAGATCAAATGAACTGATGAATCCTTGTCCACAGTGGATTCATCGGTTAATTTGATCTACTATGATCCGCGTAATCTGATTGGATCTGATTGGATCATGGAACGCACCCACAAATCTTTATGGGTTCTTCAACTGGGCCGAGTTGTTCAAAGCTGGGTTAAGATAACCCAGGGTTAGTTGGAAATTTGAATTCAGATATGAAAGCTTAAAAAGCAAATTCAATTTAATTCTTTTTGTCAACAATTTGATGATTGGCTACTCTAAAAAGCATAGAGGAAATTATCCGAGAAAATGCTTTCGATCAAAAGAAAACGAAGAGACCCTGGTTACAATTTAACCCTGGGTTATCGCTAATCGGCCTTCGAACAACTGGGCCCTGGGCTTGTTTTGCCCTCTTTCCACTCCCCACCCCCTCCCCCTTCGCCCTTCATTAGGGAGCTTAAGGTGGCTCGATACAGTTTTCCAGGGCCAATACCTCCCAAGTTTGAATATAAACTACGTTACCATAAACAAAGTTTTGAAAAAATTGCCACTACACTTGTACTAGAGAAAGATGAAAATTTGTTGTGATCAGGGTTGCAATGACATCGGAGTTGTCGTAGCAACGAAATGACGCTATTATCTATTTTACTTACAGCAGTATATATCGGCACTGGGAACTGTTCTTCCAAAATCATTCACAGAAGCTTTTTCCTCCAATAGCCGCCTCGATGTTCGTGAAGTTTAAGCGAAATCTGTAAGAGCGTTATCGAGATATTTTGGGATAAAGATTTTGTGGTTAGAAATACGGTAAAAAATGGACAATCTCTATGTTCGGCTGTTATCTGTAGAAAACGAAGCGCTTTTGACATGCAATTTCACTTCAAAGTAGTTTCAATCTTTTTAAAAACGTGTGTGAAAGATCATGGAGATAGCTCCAGCCGATTGCTAGGAAGAAAGATTTGATTAGTATGTATCCAGGAGCTCTTAGCGGTTTTTGAACATTTTGGTCTACTTTAACAAACTAGCAAATAGTTTTTAAACCGCTCGATAGATTTTTTTTAAAATTTAAGATTTTTAAGATTAACCTTCCTTTTATATGACCTTTTAGTTTCAAGATTATTGATATATTGTAAGGCAGTAAAATAAGGGCTATAATTCGCTAATAGTTTGGCTAAAATTTTGTGTTTACAAGTGTGAGCGTCTCATTATTCAGGGTATTGTCTCCAAGTTTCATATTTTCGTGCACAACAATAGCTAGCATTTTTGCATATGTCAAATGCATTGTTAGTTACTACTGTTCACGTGAAAATGAAACTTGGAGACAATGCCTTGAATAATTAGAGGCTTTCTCTTGTAATGACGAAACTTCCGATAAAAAAGTAGCGAATTGTAGCCGTTATTTTACTGCCTTACAATGTATCAATAATCTTGAAACTAAAAGGTCATTTAAAAGGAAGGTTAATCTCAAGAATCTTAAATTTTTCAAAAAATCTATCGAGCGGTTTAAAAATTATTCGCTAATTTGATAGAGAAGACCAAAATGTTTACAAAACCGCGAACAAGAGCGCTGCTATAGATACTAATCAAACCCTTCTTTCTAGCAATCGGTTGGAGCTATCTAAATGATATTTCACACACGTTTTTAAAAAGATTGAAACTACTATGAGCTGAAATTGCATGTCAAAAGCGCTTGATTTTTTACAGATAACGGCCAAACAACAATACTGTCCATTGTTTACTGCGTTTCTAGCCATAAAAACTTCATCCCAAAATATCTCAATAATGCTCTTACAGATTTCCCTTAAACTTCACGAACATCGAGGCGTCTATTTGAGGAAAAAGCTCCTGTGAACGATTTAGGAAGAACAGTTCCCAGTGCCGAGATATACTGCTGCAAGTAAAATAGGTAATAGCGTCATTTCGTTGCTATGACAACTCCGATGCCGTTGCAACCCTAATCATAAGAAATTTTTATCTTTATCTAATACAACTGTGGTGGCAATTTTTCCAAAACTTTGTGTATGGTGACGTAGTTTATGCTCAAACTTGGGAGGTATTGACCCTGAAAAACTGTATCGAGCCACCTTAAGCAACGATGATGGCAACGGCAGCTAAAACGTCACCCGAAAACTGAATTCGCGCTGCTTCAAATTTCATCGCTCTTATTGCAACTCTTTTACTTTGTCAAGTGTTGGCGATATTTTCAGGAGTTGAATTCTAAAGGACTGCATCTAACTTTACAAAAGAAAAAGAAAATAGTTGTCATGTGTTCCTGTCCTCCATAAAACGTGAAGTTAGAAAAATTTCACGCCGTAGTTGTGCAGTGACAGCAAAGAAAAGTACAAAAAAGCGTGATGCCCGTGCAAAAATGTTGTTTTGCCAGTGTTGCCGTTCTCGTTGCCGACGCCGTCATCGTTGCTTAATAAGCTCCCTATTGACGACTCCAGAAAATACCATAACATATCATAATGCTCTTTGTTTGTCACCCCCAAAATTTGGCATAAGCATTGTCTTCAGTTTCTCTTGGGAGTTCAAATGGCCCCAAGAAAAACTGAAAACAATGCTTATGCAAAATTTGGGGGTGACAAACAAAGAGCATTATGGTATGTTATGGTATTTTCTGGAGTCGTCAATTCCGGTCCTGCGTCACTGTGGTTCATCATGGCACAATGCACTAATCATAATTTCCGAGAAAATGGCCTCGATTCGAAGAATACTGCAAACCGGTCAAACAGGAAATCTGGCTAGTGCCTCCTACCAACAACCACGAAGAGTGCCGTTAAAACATTTTTGTTTGCTCCTTCGGTGTGATGATGGCTTGGAGAAGGAACTTGGCAACTGGCTTTTATTTTCTTATTTTTACCCAACTTTTGTCTTCAGTTGCAGGTCAGTTTAGTTTACAAACTGTTACAAACTATCTCATCTCTGATGACCAGTGAAATTATAATTTCTTGTGATCGTTAGCATGCTTTTGTTGGTAGTTTGGGGTCTTATAGTATTTTTTAAACGGCTACGACTTGGTGCAATAGATTCTTTGGGAAAAGGCCGAATATAAAACAGGTCAATTTGTTGAAAAGCGAAAAGATCTCTTTTATAGAATTATACGCCCTTGGAGTGTGTCAGATTTCTCAGAAACTTTGATCTCCTGTTTCTTCGAAACGAAACAATTAAGACTCTCAATTAAGTTTAGCGTCCTACACATTCTGCGTGAGGTACAAGCCCATATACAACTATAAACTCTTAACTGCTGAAAATTTTGCATATAAATCCTTTCACTTAAATAAGTAAACTTCGAGAGTTGAAATCTAGCTGTTCAAAGAAATTTCTCTTTGTTCACCGGCTCGGAAACTTCCAAAAGTCTTTGAACTTTAATAGATTGCGAATCGCTTATAGATTACCGCACTGCTAATATAACGCTGTCTTTGGTCACCAAAAATTCAAGAGAACTATCTGGAGAAATAACTTGTTTTGATCTTGATATGAAAGCAAATCAAATATTGCATTTTGCGATTTAGTTTTAATAGTTTTTGGACGAAAAAAATTGAGCGGCTTCAGGAGAACGCGTGCGTTGGAAACGGCCGGGTGGATGCATGGATCGTCGCTGTAACCTGAAATTTATTTTGACCGTTTTCAGTAAGGTATCATTTTTTTCTCCAAGCTAAGCCGGCTCTTTGATTGTGAATAAATATGAAATCAAGAAGCAAGACTGACTGCAGCTAGAAGAATGCTAGCCTTTCTTCTTAATCTTTGGTAGTTTATTCGACAAAATTTGCCCACTAGACTGATTTACCGGGATTCGGCACCTTTTTGCCTTGTACCTCGGCCCTTGGTGCGTATAGACTTCCCCTGCCATTCTTGAGTAATGTTCCTTAATTTTTTTCAATATTCATATCAAATTCAATTATTTATGACGCGGCACTCTCGAATCTTCCGCTTGGGGGGCGACTATATAAACGATCGAATCAGGTAGCGCGATTACTTATACTCAATTGATTTTTAAGCTACCTGAATAAAGCCAGTTTTCCACATTTTTCGTGTTTTAACACGAGTGAATATCGTTTTAAAGCAAGATAAAAAGAGATATATAAAAGATCTTGACTTCGTTTGTCTCCTTTTGTTAAACCTAATTTCTTTACATTCCGCTGAAAACCTTATTAAAATACATCAAGAACTGCATGTGAAAAGTTTATTTTAAATAGTTAAATAATGATGCCAAGTTTTTCTACTGCCATTATTTATTTAGCCAAACATATTGCAAAACCTAAAGTTATTTGGGAGACTTTACAGAAATGCAAGAAATTGTTCAAAACCCTTCAACAGACGTCACAGAAACTCGAAATTCTTCAGTGTTTAAACCCTGTTGTTCATTCTTAAATTTAAAAATACTGTTCATTCTTGAATAAAAATAATATTATCGTTATTTTCTTGTCGTCCATAATAATATTTATATGAAGTTTTGCGACCAGAAAAGGAAATAGTGTTTTTAAGTTGTGTCGACATGGGTCAGTTGATATCATGGTTAGCTGTCTCTCAGTAGAGTTGTGTCATTCATTTTCATTGAGTAGGAGCACCCAACGATTTCACCTTTCGTTGTCAGAGTTTTGAATCGTAACTAGAGCCACAGTCTCCGGCAAAAATAGTTGGGACACTTCCACCCGACGCTGTTTTTCAACTTCTGGCCCATCTTCTCGTCCTTCCAATTTTGTTTATCGCAGTTAACTCGCCAAATTCTGTATACCAACATTAGGAGGGCAAGAAGACGGCAATGGCGGAACCAGACCTTCAGATAAGGTGGGGAGCGGGGGGGGGGGGGAGCGGTCATCCAGACCCTGACATAAGGGGGGGGGGGATGGTGTCAAAAAATTTTGAATACCAACATTGGGAGGGCATGCGCAAGAAGACCGCAATAACGGATCCAGATCTTCAGATAAGGTGGGGAGCGGGGGGGAGCGGTCATCCAGACCCTGAGATAAGGGGGGGGGTGGCCTCAAAAAAATTTTTTTCCTCCTTTCGGGCCTAAGTTTGGTTTAAAAATAAGGGGAGAGCCTGGCTCCCCCGGGCCCTTACCCTCTATCCGCCACCTGACAGCAAAGTGTCCCAACAATTTTAACTGAGACTATAACTTAAAAAGTATAATAAACAAAGAACGATTTAGAAACACGTTTATTAAAGGCAAACGTCAATTTGAACCACGTGACCTGGTTTTCCTTTTACTCTTCTCGTTTACTGTTTACGATATCTACACACACACAAAACTTTTATGTCGGGTTCATCCACTATAATTATATATTTACACAGCTTTTTACGGCTGATCATTTTGTTTAAGAAATCACCAACTTGAATCTGATGCTTGTTATTTGCCCGGAAACGTGATTCTAACCTTTCTAAATAAAATGTAATTAATACAGGACTGTAGCGTCCATATATAATACGAACATAGTATTTCCTTAGTTTTATTATTCCATAATTCGGCTCGGACAGACGTCGATGAGAGAAACAACCGTTCCGCATTTTTTCTGCATATTAATTCATTGAAAATATCCTGCAGAAAAGCTGGAAATTGCATTTCTGAGACCCTAAATTTAAGAATTTTCTGGGGGAACATCCCCCAAGACCCACCCTAGGTTGGGCTGCCTGCGGCATACAACTGTCCTCTCCGCGTGCGCGCGTACACCTTCTCAATCTTACACTAGGTTCCTGATATGAAGTCCTTTGGTTTCAGCTGGCAGTTACGAAGATGATAGTTGGTCTGACAGCAATAATAACTATATTGCGGAGTACTCTGGAGGTTCATGTTCCGGTATGTCCCAGACCCAGCTGAGTGAAGGCTGTTCTATCAGTGACGACTGCAGCACGATCACGTGCAATATGAATTTCGTTGACGAGCCAATCACATTCAAGCTAAAGGTATAGCCTGCAGAGCATGCGTTTTAAGCGCGACTGACCTAGAGGGCAACTGGAAAACTATGGGAGGAAGGGCGGGCAAGGACGAGGGACTCATCAACCACTCCCTTGGAATCTTTTTTGACTCGTCTTAACTCTCTGTCACTTCAACGTCCAAATCGTTCGCACAGCAAAATACGCCTGCTTTGCAGGCGACCAAAGGTATTGATTGCTATGCTAATGGTCGCGGGCATTTCTGAAGGTTCCTTCGATATTAATCTCAGTAAATTTGAAGACTTCGTCTTCCTTCATCCCAGAGATTCAGGGAAATGCTTAATTTTCTGCTTTTGTAACCGTATTAATGCCGGTAAGCCAACACGAATGACAATTACGAGTACAACTAGCTCTTTTCACGAAATCACGTTGTGCCTATCATAACTAAATATCAGCATTATTTCTCAACAGGTCAACAAATGCGATGAACCTGTCACGGTAACGGCCTCCATGGATGTCCCGGATCTAGGTGTCACGTGGTCTCACACGTACACAAGTGACGACATCATTGAAGTGCCCGGATTTACTGTATCTTTGCCTTCGATTTTCTCGGCTGGAGTGTACGTTCAAGTTGGACTCACTGATAACGGAGACCGATTGCATCTTAAGGTATTTTACAGTTATCTCATTGGCCAATTCATCGTGACGTCAATACGTTTACTATTAAGGGGCAGGAGCCGATAAGTAATCGGCTCCTGTAAGAGGCTAGAGAATAGGCCATCTCCAAGATCCAAAAACCGTCAATTTCAAAGTGAGGCAAAGTGCAATGCTATCATTAAAGGCTAATGTTGACTTTGATTTATGAAATGAAACTTCTTAACTGTTCTTTATTTCAACAGGTGAACCTTTTGGCCGGTGGTAAAGTGTTAGGAAAGAGTGCTTATCCAGTAAAAGTCACTGTCATACAGGGAGATTTGCCAATCTCCACTGATGAGTGCGGTGAGTACCGATCATGCTTCTACTAAAACACTTACTTAACACTTAAGTACGCTTCATTCTACGATGAAAATCTGACAAGTTTCACTTGGTGCTTTATTTTTCTCTGTTTTTGGTGTCATGTTTGTAGATGAGAGGGGAAATGGGAACCGCAAATGTTTTTCGAGAATTATTGTTCTCCAGCGGAGAGGGTGCAATTTTAGGAGCGTTTCTTGGTGCTGTGGACGGGTTCAATCACCAAATGACGTAGCACAAAAAGATTGAAAAGTCACTGAAAAATACTCACATCACAATTCAAAGGCAATTAACAATATGGTGTTCCGCAAAACCACAGAACACTCCATTTTTAGAGTTCAATCAGTTAAGTATCGTTGAATCTATTTTCAATAAAAAATGTGTTTTTGTTGCAGGGATCTTCGGGTGGTGGTACAACTTTACCGATATTAAAAAGGCAGCAGTAATTGGTGGACCTCTAGTGTTCATCATTCTACTAATCATTGCCTGTTGCTGTTGTTGTGGCTGCTGCAGGTCCCGTCCAACCAACCAAGGGGCTGTTATCGTCACTCCCGCAGCTGTCCCTACAGCTGTCATGGCAACAAGTACCAGGAGCACCGTTCCCATGAAACCGCTGGTCAACGAGGCTTGAGTTTCACTCCAATCTTGGCTTACCCAGAGTCTTCTTTCTCTTTAGTCAGCGGGCAACGCGTTGCTCGCTGACGAAAAAGACAGAAGACTCTGGGTACGAGAATGCTTTCACTCTGAATAGACACAGTAGTGCAATGTGCAAAAAACGCGTAGTTTTCGCTAAAATTTTGCTTTGTTTATAACAGTTTAACCCGTTCTGAACACTTTTACGTTTAGTTACTGTTAAGTACAATCATAAGCAATTGTTGCCGTCTTATGCTTGGTTTAGACGCCGTACTTCACGTGAGCAGGATTAAATTTGAATTTTGGCCCACCCAAATTAATTTAGGACTGCCAATCTTTAAACCAGCCGAACTAAAGCTTCAAAATGCAGTAAGAATATATCAATTTTTTTTCAAAACTATGCAGTTAGTTTGGCTAAAATTTGAAGTTCGGTGTCTGCTGATGCACTGCCGTTTCAAATTGACCCTGGTTCTGTGAAGAACGGCGTCTGAATCAGGCCTCAAAGTACCTTGGTTGCTAGATGTTTCCTGCTACCGTTTATATTCTCATACCTTATTACATCGTTCGATTTGGAGCATTAAATGTTACTTCGGATTTTCGTATTTGACTCGCTATGTGACCCTATAGCCAACAGCCGACGCCGCAATAAAGCACGTTATCAAGACTGTTATTTAAGCGTGAGTTACATATGTTGGCATTGCATTGTTTACTATTGATGGTACGCTATGAGGAAGCCCAACAGCCATAAACACATGTAGCTTTCAGTAGTGGTTATGGTTCTTCCAATTTTTTTTCTTTTTTTATCCAGTTTTTGCCCTTTTCTTGCTTCCCTTACAGACTTTAGTATATTTTAGTCCAAAAAATTATTTTTTCCTCCCGCGCGCTTTACTCAATATGAATTTCTACTCTAAAAAGAAACATTTAGAAATGATAATCTGATTTCCAGACTTTAATACAGAAGTGAATGGGGTGTAAATTCGAATGCAAAACTGCATTCTCTGAGGCTGGCAGAGACTTTCTAAAATGAGTCCGTTTTTGGATGGGTCATTAGCTAGGTCAGCAGGAAAAACTTCTCGCGGCTCATTTCCAATTCGTCCCTCAAAAAAGTCGTATGGTAGCAAACCTTAGGCTGGCACTAAAACTAACCAGGGCTCCAAGATTAGCCTGCGATCATGCCCTCTCCCTTCATCTCCGTAGTCTGTTTTCAAGCAGAGAAGCACAAAAATAACGCCTGATCTCAGGTTACTCCAAGATATACTATCAAACCCCCTTAAAAAAGAGAGTTTGATAGTACATCTTGGAGCCCTTGTTAATTTTAATGCCAGCCTAAGATTTCCCACCATACAACTTATTTGAAATACGGACACCAAATAGTCTTCTTCGCAGCCGCTTGGACCGGAGTCAGCAAAGCGCTGAGGAGACTAGGCACCATGCATGGAATAAAAAGGTGTCGCCATGTATTTACATATACTATACACTGTAGGAATTGTATGAAGTTTTAGATCCTCGGAACCAAAGAGAAACGTCCTGCGATAGAATTTAGGGTGTGCCCTAAAGAAGGTTTGGGCGGTATGGGACAAAACCCAATTATCCTTTTGTTAGGTGGATTTTCCAGCATGTAAAATTATATCGTATTCAAAATTTAAGGAGTGTCATCTTGATCTTTCATCTTTAAAACGTAGTGCGGCTTTTCTAGACAAACTTGAAACAGACGACTTATCGCTTAATTACTTTTTTAAAACAATGGTCTGTTGTTTCATCACATGACCAACCATGCTAACAGTACCATGCTGCTGACTCATTCCCTTTGGACGTACCGGTCGACATTAATTTAATTACTGCAGCATACTTGCCCGAAGAATCCATACCATCCACTGCACTGATCTTCAAACAAAAGCATCTCACTTTTGGCTCTCAAACAAAGGTTTGTTTTTAGATATCGTGTTTAAAAACATCATATTTATATTTGGGATTTTAAGGTATTATTCACTTATAAATTTATTAATAGGCGGTGTGTGTGGCTGTTGAAGTGTAAAGGAAAGGTATAGTCCTTTTCAAGCTTGGTCTAAAAGTGCTGGAATTGTCATATCGTCTGTTCATGCCTCGAAGAGGCGATTTTAAACTCGGATTCGACCGTATGGACGGGTCACAATATCCCCGGCCCTTGACTGGCATTTCAACTCTTTCTGCAACAGAGGAGGTCTAGCCTGATTCTCAGACGTCCGAGAAGTGAAGGGACCGCGAACAACCTCGGACGTCTGAGAATCAGGCTACGAGGAGGTCGGGATCGGAAATCGTTCTTAACCACTTATGAGTATTCTCCTCGATTTTCTTAGTTCTGGATTAAGTCGTAGCCATGACTTAAGGAGCGGACTTTGTAGGGTGAAATATTTCGCCCATAAATATAGTTGAAAACAATAGACTTCAGGAGGCGCGAACGTGAAAGCATGAATGCTATTTCTGGTTATTGTCGAAAAATATGTCATGTCGCTTCTGTCCACTAGTCGGTTAGCGTCTGCAGTGTTGTTGGCAGTGGAGTGAAGCTAGCAAACTGAACAAACGAAGATAAAGTAACAAGGTTAAGAAATGCCGTGTTTCTTACTCTTTCGCTAAAATCGCGTGACTTGTGGCAAAAATTTACAAGATTCGCGTGAATTATCCTTTAACTTTCAGAACATTCCAGACGCCGCCACGGATGAAGGCTCCACCGTCAATTCAAGCGTAACTTCTTCGTGCCTAATCCATTGGTGTTTTCTTTCTTTTATAGTGTCTTTAACGGATTGTCACTTAGCTTCAAGTTGGAAATTTTATAAAACGAATTTTCTGCGCGAACAATGAACAAGTCTTGTCCTCCTTAAAGACTTCTTTAATAATCTAGGCTTGTAGCTTCTGTTTTGCTTCTGAACACTCAGATCCATCTATGTCGTTCGAATAAAATGTAACAATTTTAAAATGAAGTAAAAATGACTGATCTACACTAAATTGTGCTCAAAAGTCGCGTTATTCTGCGTTAATTCGAATAGTGTATTGTCTTTGCATATACTATTTACATACATTATTCATTTTCAATTATGATCAACAACTGAATTGCTTAGCACACTGAAGCACGTATTGTGTGTGTAACTCCTTGCAGGTACCGAAAAAAGGATTATGCCGCTCCATTTTTAGACTTTCTGCCAGCCTCGCAGCTCGTTTATGTTCATAATCGCACTTCATGTACAGGTTTGTTAACGCGTGATTTTCATCTTCTTAGTGTTTAAGACATTTGGACCAAACATGAACAGAGTTGTTACGAAACAATGAATCATCTAAGGAGTAGCTAGACAGTCACACACATCTACGTAAAAAGATCAATCAAAATCAATTCAATTCAAGTCGACAGTTCTCTTGTTCATATCAGTATTTTCTCTTCCATTTTTAGTTTCTTCTTTCACGATTTTAAAATTCTTAAACTCAAGTCAAAAGGAATTTGCTAACAAATCGGACACTCTATCAGCAGTGAAGACGTCAAGGTATGTTGACGATGGCGTCGGTTCTTGACCTTTCAATTTGATTTCTGTTTTGTCTTCTGAACACACAGCACCAACGTTGTGTGTTTTAAGTTGGTACACGTAACCTGCGTTTGAAATGAAATAGATATAAAGTATTAAAAAAATAAAGTAAAATAGACTGATCTACTCTGATTGGTTATCCTAATAGTCTAGTCCGTAACATAAACACAATGCCTTATATAGAGGAATGCGGAATCCTTTTCAATCATAATCAATTGTTTCCTTTCATAGGAAAGAATCACGTTACCTGACTCTGAGAAAGGACCCGCTCTGAGCTTCGTTTCTCTTACGACTTTCTCCAAGAGTCGGAAGGTTTGTCTTAGATTTTTATCTACCTTGATCATTTTCAGTCATTCAGAGCTAACTCACAGTCAGCTTTTGTTTGGAGTGTCGTAATCGTTTCTTAGCTGTGTATTCATGCAATCTGCAGCCAGAGACCTGCAAGAGGATTTTTTTTAGTTTTTGGGTTTAGTAATATCCAGTTTCCACTAACAACGTAAGGAGACTTTTTTAACGCCTTTAATATACACATTAATTATAAAGACTTGATAACGGTGAAACACTTCGCTCATAAAAAAAACATAACAATGGGCCTTTCAAGGTGCAAGCGTCTGAACACTGTTTATAGTAAATTTCGAAAATTATACAAAACTTTTTTCAAAATTATGCAGTTAGTTCGGCTAAAATTTGAAGTTCGGTGTCTGTATTAACATTATCTTGATTCTGCTTCTGTGGAAGTGCGGCGTCTGAATCGAGCCTCAAAGTACCTTTGTTGCTAAATGTTTCCTGCTATCGTTTATATTTCCATACTTAATATTACATCGGTTGATTTGGAGCATTAAATGTTTATTCGGATTTTCGTATTGGACTCTCTATGTGAACCTATAAACAACAGTATTTTATTCCAAAAATTAAATTTTCCTGCAGCGCGCATGAAAGTGCTCGAATTGCCATGGAATCAAAAGGTGTCGCCAGGCATTTATATATACTATACACTGTAGGAAATGCATGAAGTGTTAGATCCTCGGAACCAAAGAGAAATATTTGAAATAGAATTTAGGGTGTGCCTAGACTTTCTCAAAGTCCTTCGCTTCTCATTTCCTGTTCCGCGGTAGTTTTCCCGCTCTCTTTCTCGTTTTGCCGTGGAAAACATAAAAAATCTACCGCTAGCACTTCGCGCTCGTGAAAAACTTTGAGCTCGACTTGTAGGCAACTCTACAGTGTGCCTAAAGAAGGTTTGTGTGGTATGGGACAAAGCCGACTTATCCTTTTGTTAGTTGGATTTTCCAGCCGGTAAAATGGTTACGTATTCAAAATTTAAGGAGTGTCATCTTGCTCTTTCATCCTTAAAACGTAATATTGCGGCTTTTCTAGGCAAACTTGAAATAGACGACTTGTCGCTTCACTACTTTTTAAAACAATGGTCTGTTGTTTCATCACATGACCAGTTTTTTTAATGCTGGTGACTCATTGCCACAAACGTACCGACTGATTAATTTACTGCATACTTAACTAGCCCGAAGAATCCAAAACATCCACTGCACTGATCTTCAAACAAAAACGTGTCACTTTTGGCTCTCAAACAAAGGTTTGTTTTCATGATATTTGGGATTTTAAGGCATTACTCACTTACAAGTCTATAAATATGCGGGGTGTGTGTCTGTTAAGTGTAAAGGAAATGTATAGTCCTTTTCAAGCTTGGTCTAAAAGTGCTCGAATTGTCATATCATCTGTTCAAGCCTCGTAGAGGCGATTTAAACTCAGATTCGACCGTTTGCACGGGTTACAATATCCCCGGCCCTTGACTGGCATTTTAACTCTTTCTGTCACGGCGAGGAGGTCTAGCCTTATTCTCAGACGTCCGAAGGGACCGCGAACGAATTCGGACGTCTGAGAATCAGGCTACAAGGAAGTCGGGATCGGAAATCGATTGGTTCTATTACTTATGAGTATTCTCTTCGATCTTCTCCATCTTCTCAGTTTATCCAGTTTGCATTAATGACTTAAGGAGCGGACTTTGTAGGGTGAAGTATTTCGCCCATAAAAATAATTGAAAACAATGGACTTCAGAAGGCGCGAACGTGAAAGGATGAATGCTATTTCTAGTTATTGTCGAAAAATAGCTCATGTCGCTTCTGTCCACCAGTCGGTTAGCGTTTGCAGTGTTGTTGGCAGTGGAGTGAGCCTAGCAAACGGAACAAACTAAGATAAAGCAACATAGCTAAGAAACGCCGTGTTACTATAAACTCTTTCGTTAAAATCGCGGTACTTGTCGAAAAAATTCACAAGGTTCGCGTGAATTATCTAATAACATTTAGAACATTCTAGACGCCGCGACGGATGATTATAGGCTCCACCTACAATTCAAGCGTAACTTCTCTCTTGCCTCATGCATCGGTTTTTTCTTTCTTGTTTAGTGTCTTTAACGGATTGTCACTTAGCTTCAAGTTGTAAAGTTTGTAAAAGGAATTTCTCCGCGAAAAATGAACAAGTCTTGACTTCCTTAAAGACTTCTTTAATAATCTAGACCGAGTTGTAGCTTCTGTTTCGCGTCTAAACACTCAGATCCCTCTATGTCGTCCGAATAGAAATGTAAGAATTGTAAAATGAAGTAAAAATGTCTGATCTTTTCTAAATTGTGCTCAAAAGTCGCGTGATTCTGCGTTAATTCGAAAAGTGTATTGTCTTTGGATATACATATCAAGTGTTCTATTTACATACATTATTCATTTTCAGTCGGACACTCTTTCAGCGGTGAAGACGTCAAGGTATTTTGACGATGGCGTCGTTTCTTGACCTTTCAATTTGATTTCTGTTTTTTCTTCTGAACACACAGCACCAACGTTATGTAACCTGCGTTCGAAAGGAAATAAACCAATGACAACGTAAAGCAAAACAGACTGATCTACTCTAGATTGGTTATCCTAATTGTGTAGTTCCTAACAACAACACAACGCCCTTCAATAGAGGAATGCGGAATCCTTCTAAATCATAATCAATTGTTCCTTTCATAGGAAAGAATAGCGTTACATGTCTCTGAGAGACGACACGCTCTGAGCTTTGGTTTCTCTTACGACTTCCTCCAAGAGTCTAAAGGTTTGTTTTACATTTTTATACTTCCTAGTACAGTTTCAGCCATTCAGAGCTAACTCACGGTCAGCTTTTGTTTGGAGTGTCGCAATCGTTTCTTAGCCAGGCTGTGTATTCATGCGATCTTCACCCAGAGAACTGCAAGAGGATTTTGGTCAAAAAAAATGTGTATGAGGGCTGCAACGAGCGTATTATAGTTCCACCTGACATTCAGAGAATCAAATCTCCCTGTTTTCAAATTGCGGTCACTTCATATTTTAATTCAAGGCCGAACATTTATTCATCTTATCTCGCAACTTCGCGTTCCTGATGACTTAGGCTACACCCATGTTAGAGACCGCGTACCCCGCAGTACAGACAGTACAACTTTCTGTAAACAGGCTCCGTATTTTGAAGCAGCTTAAACGCGTACGTTCCTCTCTTCTTCTGAGGTTTAGATATGCTGTGGACATCTGCACTTGGAGAGAGCCCCGTTTTTAATTTTACATTATACATTCTTAGGTTTTTACTTAGAGAGAATAATTTAACCAGACTACAAGTACATGAGCTAGTGGCTGTGGTTATCGAAGAATCATCTAAAGAATCAATGACACAATCATGCAGTATGCAGTGATCTATAAAATTCTCAACAGGAATAAGTCACTGGAAAGCCGCTCACATGAAATACAATTTTATTCATAACTATGATTTCGTTCATGTGACAAAATTTGCCCCTTTCAGAAATATTCTTAAGATCTCCTAGATGAAAGTCATGTTAGACTGCGAGATTTCGACGTCATAGATCACGTCAGTAGCTTGCTTTCCACTTACAGTAAAAGACCAAAGAGTGTTGTTTTTGTTTTGGCTAGCTTGCAGTGCCCTTTCAATCGGATTTCATGGTCTTTCATACAATCAGGCAGCCAGAAGCAAGTACTGATCAAGGTATGATTTTCCATTCCTCAGATTATGTCTTAAGATCTTTAAGAATTACGTTTAAGGTGCCATATTTTTGTGAAGAGCAGAAAATTTTAACTTAAATCAAAAAACTTCAATGAGGTATCGTATTAAATCCTTCCCTTGGAACGGTAACTCTTTGAAATATCTTTAACAACTGATACAGAATTTCCAACGTGTTTATGTTTATACTTACACAGTCAACATTTCTTATGATAAATGTTCCACCACAGATCGATATACGATCTGTGATTTATAGCGTGATTTATAATTTTTTTCAGACTAGAGGTTTTAAAGATAGAGTTTTCTGAACAGCGTTTATAGATATGTAGCACAAAATCTTCGATTCCGCGGTACCGTCCACTCCGTTCAAACATGTCAAATAAGGAATTTTTGCCGGTTAACCGAGCGGGTACTGGGACTATTTGTAGTCGATAAACCCTGATGTTCTCGAAGCCTTCAGAAGTGTTCTTTTGAGTTTGTAAGGTAAGTTGCCCTCCCCGATTTACCTGTAAGTTGTGAAGAAAAGTAAAAGAAAAGATGTTCAGGTCCTTGGTTAGCATATACAGTCAGCGTTTGGCAAACAATGTAGCTGATTTTTAATGAACTAGATGTTCTTTCTTCCAGATCGCAAAGATCGTGTATGATGTTCATGTGATCAGTGAGGTCAACATCAGCTGCGAAAGGTAAGCAGATTGCTTTGTTAATAAGGCATTTTCTTGTAGAAAAAAGGTCGCTGCTGGCGAGAAAATTATTATTTTTGTTTGATGTTCCCAAGACAAGTTTTATCACTACTTTAGGCACTGCTGTCTGCCGCCATGCTCGCAAAGACTATTACTAGTATTAAACTTAAGGCTTCTATTGTGGGTAACAGGGTGGTCACAACGTCCCGCTTCCCGCCCGTACCCCGTTCTCCCGCCTCCCGTACTTTTTTGTCCCTTTGTCTCCCGACTCTCGCCCTTTATTGTGTTTTTGCCGTTATCATGTAAATTTAAAAGATCAGAAGCCCCGGTTTAGAGTTATAGCTGTGGGGTAATTTGCCAAATATGAAAATTGTTACAGGTGAGTTTTCTTAGTTAAACTGAGTTTTCACGAACCAGGTTATCTAGGTTTGACCATCTCTTCTGACATCCCTCTACAACGACAATGGTCTCAGTCCACTGTGCAGTGTAAAAGCTATTGCAGTTATCAAAAATGTGTCCAGGTTGTGCAATGTTAATCATTGACTGAATTGTCTGTATTCATAGCTTCACGAGTAGCAACCATGCTACTGATATTCCTCTCGCAAAATCATATTCATTCAAAAGTTGATAAATTTGGTGATGCCTTTGCTTGAGAGAATTTAAGTACATGTACTACTATTGTCATTTAGCGACTGTGAAAAATGTAAAATTACAGTGCATTGTATAGGAAATCACACCTACTGTGCAGTTCGTAATCTTTTGCTATAATTACTTTGTTGTCTATGAAATCCAACCTTACAGCTGCTCCCTATGCTGTTTAACTCCCTATTCTAATAGGGAGTGCGGCTTTGGCCTTGTCCAAAAATAAAAAAAAGGGTTGTAAATTGAACCACTCCACGCTCTCCAGTGCGATCATTGATTAGTGGCATCCCTTCAACACAAGTTTACACCACGCAGCAAAATCTTCAGTGTTTTGTGATCTACAGTTGTATGGAATGAGCTCGTAGGAAGGTCTTCCATGGATGGATTTTTCCCCACCACACCGAAAAATACTGAGATCGATCAAAATGGTCTTTGATGACATTTGACATTTGACCTGAGACTCACTTTGTCATTCTTGCGGAGAATTTGACCTGACACAGTCGACACACCTGTACATGTGTCATACCGTCTCATTCATGACCTGTTATGTAAGCGGCTTGGATCAAAGGTTTCCTACCTCACCCGAAGTAATGCTGTTTTTGTTGTTGTTGTTGCGAGTACAAATTTTCGTGTTTGACTTTTCTCACATCTAAACTTTTGCTTTAAGCCTTGTAGAAGGTTAAATGGAAGTCAAGAAACGTTGTTGGGTTTGTTTCTTTGGCTGGATGATAAGCAATGCAGTATCTTTGAATTTCTCTCCTGCTTTCCGCCCTTTCTTCTACCGTCTCCCGTAACCCCTCCTGCCCCCTATTCTCCTAGGCTCCCGCCCCCCTGTTCCCCCCCTCTACTATATATCTCTTTCAGTCAAATCGTAGCCCGTGGAGTCAAATTTAAGTGAATCAAACAGGCAAGAGGTGAAGAAGTAATTCCAGGGATCACTTGTGTTATTTGAGGATGAATCTGAAGTATTAAAAACTAACTGGTTATGTGAAACGGTTTTAAGTGCATGATATTTTATTTGATTTTTTCACTTTTGTAGACCAGCTACCAAGATTCTGAAGATGTCCACCTGACAACACAAGATTAAAATTATACTCTTGAAAGTAAGTTTATTTTCACTTTGACCGCTGTTATTAGTGTGCAGATGTCTGATATATCTCTGAACCAGATAATAGTTTACGAGTGTTTGACTTACAAACCTGGAGGAACTTCACTGTTGAGACTGCCAGATATAATGGCTCAGTCAATTCCAAGCATGCCCATCGTCCCTGGCATTTGTCATTTTTTTTTGGAAAAGCTGCAAATGCCCCACGGTGGGGCTGGGCCTTCATACAAAAACCTATGGTGGGACTTAAAATAGGGTGCAGATGCCCCACCCCGGGACAACACCAGAATTGCATTTTCCAGTAAATAAGCTCCAAATACCATATTTATGGGAAATCTGGAACCGTTGAATTGTCACATTGATCGTACAATACACAAAGTTTGTGTTATGCTTTCAAATAATATCACAGAGTTTTTCTAGGCCCTTCTGCCTTAGCCTGCAAGCAGGCTCACTTGTGCGAGTTTGGGGAAAATTTTCAGCAGCGGACCCACCAATGAGCTGAGAGAAAGTGAGCCTGCACGCGAGCCATTGAGTTTTGAATACCCCACGTTCACTGACAAACGCAGCGATCTAATTGTTTAAAAGTGGTAAGCGTCTACGGGCAACATAATTATGACAAAAACCATGGACACACGGCTCTAACATTCACACATCATAACGATAAAAAGCTACGGTAGGCCTGCACTACTTTCCTCAAATGCCACTTAGTTTGCAATGGGTAGATTATTATGCGCTGGAGAATTCTTGATTTGGACTAAGCAAATTCAGTAGCCTATTATTGTCACTTTTTGTCTCACACTGCATCATTCACGCAATGCAAGGTCACGTTTAAAAGCTCGCCTGTTTCTATTGGGCATAATGCTGTAGGGGGATTCTTAATTTTTACAGAGCAAATGTTATTTTTGCCGCTTGTCGAAATGAACGTGTTCTGCTTCACGCAAATTGATTTCTTTGGTGTTGTTTCTGACCGGATTTGACCTCTGATGCAGTTTAGCACAACATCTGCACATGCAACTTCCTGTCAAATTGTTTACATTAATTGCTGCTCCTATTGGATATTATCTTGACACCTTGAAAGGGCGTAATTCAAAAAGAAATAATAGTGGTGTAACGATTAATCGAATTCTCAGTTAATTGTGATTATGACCGTTAAGTTCGATTCATGATTCTTTACTTCCACGTTTCGATTTTGATTCGATTTTTGCATACCTTTTCCAGGGTGCTCTCAGTGAGTTATGATATTGTAAAATCAGAATCCAGAACTCTTTAAAATCTGCGTTTTTGATTGATGAGCAAAGACGATTGCAGTTTGTGTGCCATTTTGCATTGCCTGGAAAAATGCTAGCTGTCCTTTGACAACCACTTGATAATTTCCAAATAAGGCAAACCAGGTGCAAAACTGAGGTTCTCAAACAGGACGCAAATACGACCATTAGCGGCTGTGAATCCCCCTGTACGTTGTCCCTAAATACTATTCTCAAATTGAGGGTTTTTGGACCCATGTTGTTTATAATACGCATTATGTTATAAGAATTAAGAACCGTTACAAAATCAAATCGAAATAATCGAAATCGATTAGGCAATAATCAAAATCGAATCAAATCGCAAGGAATATGAATATTGTTACACCCCTAATCAATAG